TTGTTAATACAACGCGATAAACTTGGTCGGATTCGGCTCACTCGCTTCGCTAGACGTGCCAAGCTGGTGACAGACCGCGACCGTCAAGGAGCAGGCAGATGATGTCGAAGGATTTCGGACATTTTTGCGCCGCTAGAAGATCCGTTATACCCAGTCACCGTGTTTATATGCGGTGTTTTCGCTCGTCGGCGACTGTTGAGGAATCTTCTCCGCGTTACGGGCCGGTATCGCCCGCACGCGCCGCTTCTCCGTCTGTCTTTCGCCGCCATGTTTTTTTCTTTCTCTTTTCGGCTTTGGCCACTTCGGCTCGGATACGGGATCGTCCAGAAATCAGGCTCCTCCAAAAGCTCGCTCCGCCTCGAAGGTCCAACGTCATAGCGATGTCGAGCGGCCATTGGTGGCTTTTCCGTTTTCCCTTCGGGTGATTGACAGGCCTCGGTCAGGTGTCAGGAAAACCTCGCTCCGAGAGAAGCGAGAATCGCGCGCAACCTTTCTCGGAGGCGTTCGGTCGCGTTCATAGGGAGCATCTGTTTCTCGAAACCTAGTTTCGCGACCCTATTTTTGCCAACAAAATGCGCAGTGTAATAGACCCTTAACTGACCCGTGCACCTAGGGTATCAGGAAAGGGCCCTCCGAGCAGCTTGGGACGTCGCACAGAGCATACGCAGACGCTTCAAGCTACTTGGGGCAACCAAAGCGTCGGGGGGCCCTATTCTGAATCTCTACCTTGTGTCTTTCAATGCACGGGCGTTAAATCTCGAACCCCTTTTGGTCCGCGGGTAAGCAGTTGAGCCGGGTTGCGGTTACATTGGTCAGTTATCGTGGTTGAACGGAAACTCATCTAAAGCGGGGGGGAGGGGAGGAGAGGAAGGGGAGGGGAGGGGAGGGGAGGGAGGATGGGCGGGTGAGAGAGCTTTAGCGCAAGCTTCGTACGCACATGGGGAGGGCACAAAGCTTTGAAGCGGGTCGGCACAACCGCGACAACAGGACCTTTTTACCAGGAGGCTGTACCGTCCGCCCAAAAGACGTCATCGAGCTCGAAAAAAAAGCGTCGTCTGTTTGCAAATGAGGCTGGTCGAGGAAAACGGAAGACCTGTCGCGGAGAGCGGCGAACCTTGAAGTATGACGTCGGTCGTGGCGTGGTCTGGCCTGGTCCTTCCTCTCTTCTCGGCGTGCGTGCGTGTGGACCACCTGGCATGGGGAAAGGAACGAGCTATGGGCTCTTTTGCTCAAAAGCAAGCTGCCTTGTTTCGGTTTTTATTTATACGTACGAAGGCGAAGAAATAGCGTGTGCGTTGATTCGTGAGATTGTTTCGGATGGCTCTGGGTCCGAGGGTTAGCGCTGTTAAGAAAAAGAAACTCGATGGAGATTTTGCGCTGTAATAACTTTGTCGGAACGTCTTTATGCGCGTCGGGATGACGTGTCGTCGTGGTAAGGTGGGCCGCTCGAATCTTCTGCTCGAAACGTTGAACGTTTGGGGTTCTAAGCACTAGGTCCTTTTGATGGAAAGCTTGTCTCGTCTATGTGGTACGCGTTCCAAAGTTTTCGCGCTTTGGTGTATCGGTTTTGGAACGAATCTTGAGACGGCCTTAATTTAAACGGGGAGGTCGTAGTGGTCGGTAGTCTTGCCCCATTAGCCCAGCATTTTCTGCCCATTGCTGCTCTTGCTCGAAGGAAGCATTGTCATCAGTAGCACTGGTGATCGACTTCAAGCGCCAGATCTCAAGGCCGACCGGTCTCACGTCGTATAATCGTTTCCACGGCAAAACTTGACCTCCCGTTTTGAACCGGGCCGACTCATTCTCATGTCACTTTATGCACGCGTGTGCATTCCCTCTCTGCACGTGCGTGTTGTGCGCGCCTGGGCGCGTGATTATGTGGGAGCTGGTGCGTGTATCCGTGCATGAATTAGTGCCTTCGCGCACGACTGCTCAAATGTCTCTTGCGCTACTGCATTGCGTGGCCCACCGCGAGAGTCGTGCGAAACGAAGGCAGGCAGAGACGGCGCTATCGCTTGTTCGTTTTAACCGTGTCGTAGCTCACCGACCGGCACGGCGTCTCTGCTACGTTGCCTTCCGCCGTGCTTTGGCTGCCCGTGCACGCTTGAGGCTCACGAGACGTCGAAGCGTTATCGAAGCTGGGAAGCTCGCGCTGGAGGCGGGACAAGTGTAAAATCTCTTTGTCGTTCTCGCCCTCTGAGTGAAAATCGAGCGATTTTTAAGCCGTTGTTTCTTATCTGGGTGTTGGAACCGACCCTCCGCATTCCCGAGCTCGGTAATCCGGAAAGTCGGCTTCTCCGCGTGCAGCGGTGTTGTGCGGTGGAGCCTTCCTTCCCTTGCCCCGTTTTTGACTGCCGCTATACGGAGTAGGTTCTGGGGAGATTGGCAGAGAGAAGTTACGACCCTTTCGTGTAGTTGCCTTTTCAAAAACAGCTTAACTTTCCATTTTCACGTTTGCCGCCACCAGTTTCTTTATTTCTATTTTTTTTTTTGTTTTTTGGTTTTTCGTTTTACATGTTTTCGGAGTTAGCAGGGAGGTACGCGCTGCTCTCAAAAGGCCCCATCGATTTTTGTTCTCTCCCCCTCCTTTCCCGTGCAACGGATGGTCCCGACTCGCCGTCGCCGGTCGCCCTGCCGCAAAAACGATTGCCAACAAATAACAAAAAACAAACAAAAAACTCGCAGCTCCGGGTGCAAAAAAAAACAACAAAAATAAAGAGAGATAAAGGGGGAGAGACGCGACACGCGCGGACGGTGAACATCCAGCCAGAATGAATGAGCTGGCTGAAGGGCGCGCAACAAAGAAAATCGCCGGTGCAGCAGCACGGTCTGCTGAAGTGGACAGCGCGACTGCCGCCTGCCCAGAAGGATGGAGGGTGGGAGAGGAGGAGGGGGGCAGGAATGTACGAGGGTTTCATTTCAGGCCCGCGCGCAGATTGCAGTGCTGAAATCGACAATGCAGTGAAAGCTACGCTCTCGCCTTGCCAACCAACTGTCTCCCTTTCGCCACCTGACCCTGCATTCTCTGCGCATATGTATGGGTGAGAGCGTGGTCACGTGGTAAAGGGCAGATGCATGATTGGTTCAACTAGCACATAGCTTTTACCGTACTTTCAGCTTAGGAGTGAACGGGGTGGAGGGGTCCGTCTCGTTGGCTCTGGTTGTAGAGGGATGGAAGGGGAGACGTGGTTTTGATGACCCAGCGTCGTCGTTGGGGCCGGGACGAGTTCTGAGAGCGACAGAGATCCTTGTTTGATTTGATGGAGACCGGCAGGGAAGAGACTGTCGTGCTTGCTTCTAGGGAGGAACTGCCTGCTCTTAGTTTCGCGAGTTGGCTTAAGACGATTGGGACGGTACTTGTTCGGAGCTTGTTGGGGGATTACTGCTTCCGAAAGACTTTTGGGTGGCGTTTTGTCCCTTTTTGTGCAGAGTTCTTGCTTTGACGGCAGGATTGGTTCGAGGTAATTACGGTTGTGGCTGCGTGGTTGTGGCTTATGTGTGTTGCATGCTAGGGTTTTTAAAGTATTTCTGTTTAGTCGACAAAATTGCATGCTTTCCATCTGTTTTTTTTTTTTTTTGTTTTTTTCTTTTTCCCAAATAAAAAAACAAACTGGGATTAATTTTTTTTTTTTTTTTTTTTTTTTAATTATTTTCCGCGGGCTCAATATTTCGCGATTTAGGTCAAAGCTGAAGTTTTGGACTAATTTGCGGGTTGTACTTTTCGCGGCGCGGTGTGATCTCAATATAGATTCCAATGTGTTTATATTTTACCGGGATTGTTCGTGGGTCTTATTTTTTGCGGATTGTAGGCGATTCACTAAATTCGGAAAAATTAAGTCGTTTACAATATATTTTTATCAAGATATTTTTGGAGCTCAAAACTTCTTTGTACTCAGTTAAGAGTCTTCCAATATTTTATGGGCACTAAATTTGCATGAAATAAACCAGCGTAACCATTATGGCTTCAATTCACAACATTAATGTTTTGTGAATTTTTATGGTTTATGGAATTAATGCAAATGGAGTTGCTTAATGTATAATAGTTCACATCCCTTGGTGTCTTTGAGCATAAAGATACTCTGGTAACATCCTCTTGTTAAACTATTAATTCTAAAAGTATGTTAATTTTTGGCCACATGTTTTAGATCAGTGTTTCTCAAATGGTGGTCCGTAAGGGTCCGCAAAGCCCTGCCTTTCTCATCAGTCAAAACCAAAATAAGCATGGGCGTACCAACCGGAGGGGCAAGGGGGGCGCTTGCCCCCCCAGTTCTGAGTAGGGGGCAAGGCATGTGTTTTGCCCCTCCCCCTAAAACAGCCGCCACTGGGCTGGGCAAACACTGGCCGGTGGCGCCTAAGGGATACCAAGGGCACTGGCCCCTGGCTTGGAGGGGGGGGGGGGTTCTGGTCCCCCTTCCCACTCAAAAACAAGTTGGTACGCCACTGGAAATGTCTTTTTTCTTTTTTTTAGATTGGGGAGAAACATTCAAATTTTTTGGGTCAGTTTTCTCGTCTGTATGTCAATAAGATAAGCCTACTTCATGCATCCAATCGTTATATCTATTTATTAAATCATTATCGTAACTATACCTTTTCCTTGCCCCCTCCAAGGTCCTCGATCATCTCTGCCGATCCACAAGGGTCCGCGAAACATCAATGGTTGAGAACCACTGTTTTAGATTATTAAACATTTAATATTGAATTCTTTACACTCTAAGAACATGGCAAATACTAATGTGTCTGTGTCAGCTTATTCACCAACTTGCTAAACAGTGATGCGTGCATTGAGTTTGTTAGCGAACTGTTCACCTTGTTTAATCTCGGATCGCTTGAGTTGTGGTTAGTGGTGTTGTCCTTTGTCTCACTGCATCTTTGAGTTGTGTAGCAGTGCCTCCAGGGGTTTCTTGCATAGTTTTTTCTCTTTGTACGCTGGAACCTGATGAGCAGATTATGGTTGAGGTAGGTGATTTCATGCAAGTGCCTTTGCTCTTACGTCTGTGCAGATCAATGGCCTCACGCACGTCAACATACCTGTGATGCTGATGCCTGATGACTTTAAATCCTACACCAAGATCAAGGTGGATAACCACCACTTCAATAAGTGAGCATGCTTCTTTGGAAAGAACAAAAATCCCATTCACAATTTATCCGCTAGCCCTCTTTCAGTTGCGCTTATAGAGCTCTGTTTCGGTGTCTTTGTCGTGGAATATGTCTATTGAAATAAATAGAAGCAGGGGTCAGGCGCTTTTTCCAAAACTCAGAATCTAGAAAGATTATACAAAGTGTGACTGTTCAGCAAATTGACAAGGGGCACTTTCTTTGATATTCCAAAATTCCGGTGAGGTGTTTCTTAGTGAGTTCAAAGGGGGTGGGCCACAAGGAAGGGACCATATTAGTGCTTATTACATACCTAACAATTGACCTCAAGAGCAGAGTAGTTTAGGACAACTGACAGATCATTTCATCATAGTTTGTCCTTTTTTTTCAGACGTCACAAGCTACATGCAAGCAAAACCACCTTTAGTTTGCTGCCTGTTTGCATACTATAAAAATGTGTTAATTCATTTACCTTTATGTGTATGTTCAAGTATCACAGTTGCATTCATGTCTGCGAGTTGTCCTAGCAACGACAATCAGAATATTGCGTGGAAAGCTCAGGTTTGCTGTGGAACCTATGGGGGATTCCGGGGTTAGATCGGGCCAGGGCTGGGCAGCATCGAAGATGCATGTATCTTTGGTACTATCTTCTGATAAAGTTGAGTATCTTGTATCAGTTGTCACTTTCCTGAAAGACTGGACTTCTAAACATTATTTTTTCTCTCTTTCTTTTTTTGCTGGAAAAGGAGAGCAAGTGAAATAAACTGGTGAGCAGAAGACTATTCTATTTTGTAGAAAACTGTAGCCTGACTAATAATTAGGAAAAAGTTGATGCAGCAGCAGAAATATTTGTAGAAATGTCTCTAAAACCCTATTTCACCAGGCTGCTTGTGGAAGTGGCAGTTATACGCCATTCTAAGCTGCAAGTGTGTGCAATACTATTGTTCCAATGAAAACTGCTGTGGTGAGAGTGAGGTTTAAATAATTCTCATGGTATATATGCTGCAGCATTTCCGAAAAGTAAATACATGCAGTATAGAAAAAACTAAATCTGGATAATAAATATGCTAACCTATTAAAGCTATCCTATAGCTTGCCTTTCAAAATAATCGAGATGTGGTTTCGGCGCTGTATCGAAGTAGGTTCTTACAGTATTGAGTATCTGTACGGGAAACAAATCTTGCATCTGTATCTTCTGCTGGTAGCCAAAAACAATTTTTGACAGTATTGGGTATCGGTATCGAAGATACAATTCTGAGGTGCCTTGCCCAGCCCTGTCAGAGGCATTTATTTGCCCAAGAAGTTAGGACATTTGATGACATTGATTATATTCTTTTTGTATGGATATTACATAGAAGCCGTTCGTGTTTTTGCATGCTCCACAAATATATGGTTTTAGATGTTAAAGGCTCCTGAAAAGAAAAAAAAAAAGTTATTTTTAACAGTCTAGCTGGGACACGCATGTCAAAAAAATAAATTGTACGCACAAAAAGAAGAGTTTTTAGAGCAATATTGACGGCGCAAGACGCTGTTTAGTTGGCAGTCACCTCCTTTCCACTTGTTTTCTCTCGGCATTTCGAGCGCGTGGAGGAGAGGTGAATCGGCTTCGCCTATACGATTGAGATGGTCATTGCGGAATGACCCCTGACTTAATGGACTTTGCACAGAATTTCAAATAAATCTCTCTCCGTCAATATTGCTCTAAAATATTCTTTTTTTTTTTGCGTAAATTTTTTTTTTTTTTGAGTTGCGTGTTTGATTGTTAGATTGTTTTAAAAAAAATTTTTTTTCTTTTCAGGGGCTTTTTAAGTACTTCTATGCCATTAAAGTGGGACTAAATGTCATGCCCCTGCATTGAACTCTTTAGTGAAGCTTTTTCAAGAATATGTTTGCACCTTATACTGAATTGGTTTAGGGGGTTTGCTGAAACAGCTCTTAAAAAAAAAAAGGGAGTCTTTTTTTTGGAAGTGTTTTTGTCTGGCCTATTGCATGCATTATTAATTAAGCCAGCTGAACTGAGACTAGACTAACCCATTCTAAAATTTCATCTTGACGTTGTATGCTGTTTGCAAACTAGAGCATGCTGTTACTAGCATGCAGACTATGGTAGTATATCCAACTGGTATTTTTTTTTTATAACTTGCGGCAATGTGTAATGAGATATTAACTAAACGGATCCTATTTCCAGTGTTTGTGGTGCCTGAGTTTTATTTTTGCTACCTTGCTTTCAAGATCTGCTTTCTAACTGTGCTCCTGTGCCTTGTCTATCCAGGGAGAACATGCCAAGCCACTTTAAAGTGAAAGAGTATTGCCCCCTTGTTTTTCGGAACCTCAGGGAAAGATTTGGCATCGACGATGTAGATTACATGGTAGGTGCATTGTCTGTTTGCCCTGATCCACTTGTTTCTGTGCTCCTTATCACACTCGCTCGCTGGGCTGATTGTGATATACCGCTAGTTAGCTGCGTACAGCTAGAATGAGGTGCCTTATTAGAAGGTGTAAGGTAATAACAATGTACCAACAACTGTAACAATGTTGCTGCTTCATCTCATGTCAATTCCAATATCTTGATTGGAGGTCTCAAACTGATAGTGCCTGTTCTTGTTTCAAACTAATGTGGGCCTGATTTTAATATGAGGCATTTAATAGCAGTTTTTTAGCTTATGGATATTATGTTATCCTGTGGTGGTTGTTTTGTATATGAAAATATGATATAGCATTGTTATTTTGGAGCATGTTCTGACGCATCTGCATCATCTAAAACAAGGCTTGTTGTTCACATTTCTTTTCACTTTGTGTAGTGGTGGCTCAATACTCTTGATACTTCATCAATCAAGCAGGTTTACTGGTGTAAAGTTTTCGCTCAAATTCTGCTTGGCACAACGCAGATTAGAGATTTAGAACTAGAATTTTTCTTTGCAGTATTTTCAGTGCATTGCTCATATGTCAAGCTGTCAAGGAATTGTTTCCAGTTGGCCTTAATCATATTGTTTTCAGAGTCCCAAAGTTCCGACAGCAATACATTGACATGAAAAGAGACTTGCGAGCCACCGTGTGGCTGTTCCTTTTGCCACTCAACATTTATTTCTGATCACTGAGCAGGAGCCATGATCAAACATGTAGCACAATCTTGAAGACAAGGCCTTTCATTAATTCGGGCTGCTGCACTCCATAGACACTTCAAAGCTTGACTAAACAAGGCTGTTCGGGCTGTGTCCAGACATCTGCCATGCACGCAACATTGGAAGTTTCATGGACCTAGGCTGGGTGGCGCAATCTACTGCCTGATACAAAAGGTTGAGTCACAATTAGACACCCACCCGTGTGTCTCTGCAGAATTCGCTGACCAAGTCCCAGGCCATTGCGGTGGACTCCCCTGGGCGCAGCGGTGCCAAGTTCTACCAGTCGTACGACCGCCTCTTCATCATCAAGACACTGCTCAGCGAGGAAGTGGAACAGATGCACGTTCTCCTCAAGGAGTACCACCCTGTGAGTGGAAGCCAGGCTTTAGGCTGGTTGCAGGCTTTCTGCTCAGGCTGTTTCATTGAGAGTGCCTAAAAGAAATGCTTCCTCTTTTTTTTCTTCTCCTATTACTTTCGGTTTTTTGTAAGCTCTGCAACATTGTTAGCACAAATACGACATCAGTGCTTCTTTGCAGTTTACTCAGACAGAGTATGTGGAGTGCAAGTTTGTCTGCTTCTTGCACAAGGGTTGCAATGATGTCAGAATGCCGCGTTCTTATTCGCCGATTACAAAAAATATAGTGGGTGAACCTTAAGGCATCTAGCATTGAGGTCTACCCCCTAACCTTTGAATCAAAGCCAATCAGAGCTCGGCATCATTCTAACGTCACCGCAACTCCTGCGCAAGAAGCAGACAACTTGCTCTTCATATTGATCAGCACCAAGTTTAGTGCTTAGGTTACTGTCCTGCATGAGAACTCTCTGCCATACACAAGCAGTTTCTGTGACAGTCATTCAGTTTTAGCATAAGAATAGTAGAAACTGCACAGTTCTCACACTGTGTACATAAATGCCTTATAGTTAAGTGCAAAAGGTACTGGAGTGGGTTGTCCCAGGCTGTTAGTCTTCTTTAGGGGTCCATGTTTAGCCTGCCACAACTGGCACCAGGCTGGCACCAGCCTCTCTGGATCCTTTGGTGCTGCTGCAGATACGCTCAAGGGAGTACAGTGATTCCCGTTTAGAACAAACCCACGTATAGCAAACTATTATCGATATCGAACTCGCGGAAAATTAAAATAAAAATGCACGTAAAAAGTACTTTTTATAACGAACAATATATTGGCTATATTGAACTTTTCCTCCCAGGAAGGCTTCCGAAAATGTGCAAACAATCGTCTTCTAGCCTGTCCCTTCCCCCAAAAAAGTAGGAAAGAAAGAAAATTCCAAAAGCTTAAATTGCGAACAAAATTGAGCGCAGAGAAGCGATTTAGAAAAGGGAGAAAGCTAAAAAATACTCTGCAAGCACGCACAGAAAAAACTTCTCATCCCAAAACGTTTGTTCACGAAGACCAGCGACTGAAAAACAAAAAAATAAGCGGACAAAAACAAAGTTTCCGCACGCATGAAAAAAGTCATTTTTATATAGCGCGTTGTCACAACACGGAAGTGAAGAGAGGAGAAAGAAAGAGAAGGGGCTCACGCCTTACAACAAACTCATCGTGGAAGTTTGTTGTAAATGGCTTTTGCTATATCAAACTACTTGCCATATCAAACTAATCGTAGCGTTTCCTGCTGTTCATTATAAACGGGTTTGACTGTACTATCAGTTGCTGTGTTGCTCGCTGTTTGCTGGGATGACTTATCTTGAAATAAATTGTTCTGTGGTTAAGAAGCCCCACAGTTGTAATCTCAGAAAAGAGAGCCAATCCTCCACCAAGGTAAGAAATTTGAAAGAATTGCTTGCCTGGCTAAAACTCTCATTCTTAAACCTTCATCCATATCGGCTGTTGGTGTCAGCTGTTGTAGACCAGGTCAGTCACAGTCGGTCAGCGATGTGGTCGACATCATGGAGTGAGTCAACAGAGTCAAAGGAAAGGACTTGGTTTATTTGCTCATCTTATAAAAGTTTTGAGGGAGAAATCGCTACAGTTCTCCAAGCTCAAGTTTCCCAACTCATCGTTCGAGTTGTCCAAACCCAGGTCACATGATTTCTAGGGGTGGATTATGTGTCGGGGAAGAGTTATCCGATGGGATATTTTGGTAATAAATACCCCGAGCATGAAGATTTTTTATTTTTTTCCCCCCTAGTATGTTGTTGAGCGTCACGGCAAGACGCTGCTGCCCCAATACCTGGCCATGTACCGGCTCACCGTGGAAGGTGCGGAGACATACCTCGTTGTGATTCGAAACATCTTCAGTAGCTACTTGAACGTCCATGTCAAGTATGACCTCAAGGTAAGGCTCTCCCACTGGAAAAGCGTGAAACTTTTTCCTTTGTGCCTTTTGTAGTTTTGATTAGTGGGTTGTGCAATTAAAACTTGTGAGTGTGTTGCTCACTTTTTTTTATATTTTGATTTTAATTTTGTGTTTGGTAATGGGGTAGTTAGAGACAATATTAGGGGGGCATGTTCAATCTCTCTCAATTGATGCACTATTCACCCAATGTAAAGCTGCATAATACTAGTATGTGTCTCCTATATGAACATTTATGAGTTTATTGGCACATATGGTATTGGTACAATTTCTGTTCAGTGATAATATAAATTCAAGTTTCTGGAAACTTGTAGCTCAGAATGTGGGAATCATAGAAATTTCTAGCAATATAACAAAATATGCTTTTTTTTTAAATCTTATAGCATTTAGTATTCAGAGGTTGGTCTGCATTTATTCGCTCCAGGTTTTCTTTGAAGCTTCATTGTGCTATTTATATGGCTCTACATAAGAAGCCTTATATACTGAAGCAGCATTTGTACATGAAACAAATTATGCAGTGTAGCACAAGCATATTCAATGCACAATTACAGTGTTACGAAGAATGCTGTGATGGACCACATATGCCGTGAAATAAGATGACCGCAAATTTTCACCGCATTGATTCAAATCTCACAGGTCTGACAAAAATGTCAGAATCGCACGCGAAAGCCAAAATAACAAGTGGACGAAGAAAACAATGTGAAAGTATTCCATCTGTTATCTGTGTTGATTTCATGAGGAACTGGTTGCATGCTTCTTAGATAATATTTCTGCTATGAGGACAAGGTTTCTAAGCCCACTGAAGTATTCGGATGCTCGCACACTGCCGAAGCTGTCGTAGCAAAATTACTCTAACATGGCAAGAGCCTTTGCGACTGCTCTTAAAGTATAATGGCAACGGCTCCTCGCAGAACATTTCTGATGGTCTTATCATTAATCAGCTGACTGGCAACAGCAGCACCATATCAATTGCTTGTTGATGAAGTGTACCACACAAAGAGCAAAATGCAGGTGAAAGGAACGAACAGAAGAACCACTTGGCAGTTGATGACCGTACCGATGTACACTCCGGCATTTTTTAGGGTTGCCTTTAGCTTGTTCATTTATGGTGTATTCGCACAAGAGCTTTATCTTTGGAGGAAACTGAGTACTTCATAGAGCTGTGAGAAGGAAACAACACGAGAAGGAGGAGGCAGTGCAGAAAATCCAAGCAAGCATTCACATGACAGGGTCACATATAGTTGTCACCCGAGTCTTCCTTTTCGCAAACCTGCTGGCGACTTTCGGGACCTCATCGTACAGAAGGCAGGGAAAAAATAATAAGGGAAAGTCGCCCCCTACTTAAAAGTTGTTCATCATTATGCTGCCTCAAAAACAGGGGGACAGAGGAACGGTCCGGGTTGCTCTGACGGAGCGGCGGATATTCTGTAGGCTGGTGACAGATTCTCCTCGACACCCCTCGAGCTTGGAGGATTAGGAAACATTCGTGATGTGTAGCACGTGACCTCAAAACTCGACGACGTTTAATACTCTCCTGAGAAACTCCGTCGTGCGAATACACCATTGCTATCGTCAGTATGAAGCACAGCGCTCGCTGCGCTTCGTAAGGTTTTGTAACTCTATATTTCCGCTTTGTGCCGGAGCGTTTGCTGTGGTGAAGCGTAGCCAATGTCTGCTTGCAGCGTTGCACTGGCTCTTCAGGTGCGTTTCAGGTCATTTTCGCTCTGCCAAATCATGTGATGCCTTCAGGACTTTTACATGGAATTAAGGGGACACTGACAGTGTATTTATGCTCGCTAAGGTTTTTAGAGCACAGCTCTTAGGGGCCCATTTCCGGCTTGAGCGGCATCGCCGTTGGCGTAACCGCGAGGTCACGTGACCCCCCGAGGTCATGTAACCCCCTGAGGTCACGTGACCTCAAGGAGTCACCTATCCCTTAGTACGCTTCCATCTTCCTCCTCAAGAGCTGCGCTCTAACCGGCGTTACAGGGAATTGTAAACGGCTTTCGTTTTTATTTGTACATGACACATGACAGCCCAACTACCCAGAACCGAATTGGCGGCTCGAAATTCGTTTTCTTTCCGCCCGAAAACCGCCGATCGAGAACTGGCTGGTTTGAGTCTCGCTCACTCTCTTCTCCGTGGTCACGTGCCGTTTTCTATGGTTTAGACACTGCCACCAAAGATAATCAGTCGTTGATCATTGAAGGCACAGATTCAGTATTAAAAATAGGAAAGGAATATTATACCCATTTTTTTGTGGGTTCTAAAAAGCCACGAGTACGTTGATTAAAGGAAAAAAAGTTCACAGCCACGCGACTTCCGCCAACTCTCTCCTACTCCATATTTCATTTTCCTGCCCACTCCGGTTTCGGTTTGGAGCAGCTGCGTTTTTCGATTTTATTAAAAATATACATACGCTGTAGCAAAATAATGATAGGGTAGTTTTTTGACACCATAATAAATTCCCTGGCAAAAAATAAAACAAAATTTTTTGGGGGGTGTCAGTGTCCCTTTAACCAGGGTGCGCTAAACTTCTTTTCTAAGGAACGAATGTTTGGCACCACAGGCATGTGTGCCGAGGCCATGGTGGAAGTTCCAGGTAGTAAAATTTCTGAATTAATGGGGGTCAATGTAGTGAGGTTTTACTGTATTTTCACAATTGCATACCGATATTGAGTTTACTCTTTTATTTTCCGCGACTTGCAAAGACTTGTTACGTATTCCTGGGCCATCAGAACAAGGGAGTTTTTCACGATTTCTCAAGTTCTTACCACAGTACAGTATAAGCTTGTCATAACAGACTGTTATAGTGATGAAGATTTTAGTCTGTTGTAAAAGGAGTATGCAGAGTGCAGATACTCTTGCTAGATACTCTGAGGTGGATTATGACTGGAGTCTGTTCTAATCTGTGACACTGGCAAAATTTAAAAAAAAAAATGCTTTATTTAAATTTTTTAAACGTTGAAAGGTACTGATTTTTTATTGAGCTGTACTGATAATCATCATCACTGTGCACTTTGCATCATACGGGCTTGCAAAGCTATGAATGCAATGACAGCAGTTTGTAAAATGATGCCGCCACTACCGAATTAAAGTTGCATAATGTCCCAAACTATGACTGCTGTGGAAGAGTCCTCCCTAATGAAATGGTGAATTACAAACCTTCTAATGTACCATAAAATACCGGGCAGGCACCCTCTCAAAATTTAGAGATAATCGCGAAAAAATGGGGGATGGGTGCTTGTCCGGTCATCAATTTTACATATCAATGTACTGTGCATATTTTCTCAGATCTTACAATTTGGGAGTGGGCGCTTAATGTGGAATGGGCAGATGCGCGGTATTCTACTACAGTCCATTTTATTCAAATGTATAACAGAATCTTTAAGAAGCGAAGTTTGCTCAGTGGCATAGCAGAAAGACCAGCCAAACTTCACAAATTGGTATGTTGTAACCAAATGTCTATTGTAACAGGATCTGTTGTAACGAGGTTATACTCTACAATGCACTATGCATAAGATAGCTGAGGTTTCTTTTTTTCATGATGACATTATATGCTAAGTACTTGCAAAGAAATTGGAATTTCTGGGCATTGCACAGTAGATGTGATAGAGTTTGTGATGGTCATTATGCAGAACATTCTTATAGTTCTTTCTTTACTGATTAACGTAAATTGTTTGGAGTTTGTAATCAATCCATGGCAGGGTCTTGACAAACGTGCACTTTCAATGTGAAGGGATACAAGAGCACTAAGCCTCGTTCAGTATTAAAGCAGGGATCCTCTTCCGGATTTTTAATCCAGGTAAGGGTGTTTAAAATAAAGCAAGGTCTTCTTCTCTAACAGTCACTGCGTCTGCATTTTGCATGGGTACTGTTTGACTATTAAACATGCACGTGTGAGTAGAGGGCATATCTAGCAATGTCGAACAAGGACGAGGAGCGTACACCTTGAAAATCCCTGTTTTCTGCTTAGCCTCTACAAATATTTTATTCAAGTTATCTGAAAGCTCATTTATTTAGCTGGGTACAATGAATGGAATGGAAAATCTAGCGATAAGCAGCTGGTTTGGAGGTGTAGTCGAGGGTATGATCTACACCCTTTCAGATGACGCTTTAATGAGTTGGTAAAGTTTCAAGCCATGCCTCCTGATGTTGCTTTTATTAAACGTTTTTGGAGTGGCAAAGAACTCGACATTGGCGTGACCCGTCGGCGACTCGTCCCATTGAGCCGACATGTTGGGACCCAGCCTCATATCTTGAGCTGCCACATTCTCATTTCGGCCCAGAGCACGCATAGCTCGATATATTTGCAACAGGCAACGCCTTTAACAATCTTTACAATTTCTGAATTAGTTGCGAGCTCTTTGCTGGTGCATGGTGTATTTGGGAGGAAATTCACTTGTCCTGCCCCTAGCAGGCAGGTTGAGAACTAAACCAATATGAAAAACAATGACAATATTTATTTGTTTGTATTTATAATGCAGCCCTCGGCTGACATAGCCGAACGCTGCATCAGCGTCCAACTGAGGATCATGTTTAATCATTGAAGCCCCTATTGAGCTGGAATCTCGGCCGAGCTGGCCGATGCGCTGCCTATAGTTCTATCTTGTTGCCAATAAACTCTCGAAGTTTCGTGTTGAAATGCTTTGAGGCAACACATCACATATGGCAATCAACTAATTTTAGTCTTTTTTTTTTGTTTGCACGGTTAGTGTGTGTGTCAATTGTGTGTTTGTGGTTTCCCACAGACTAAGAAGACTAGTATGTGTGTGCACTAATTTTTCATTTCTAACTTAATGGGACTGTAAGGGGGACTACCTAGGAACTGTCTTGACTTTGGCAGTCTCAGATGGTAAAGCCAAATCCAAACCACTCAAGTGTCTGGGATGTGGCAAAAAAACCTGCGGAAGCCGATTCATACAAAAGCTTTAGTATTTACCATGGCGTAGATTTCAAGCAAAGCTCTACATATCAATCATTTTCTCCTTCTTTCGGTCGAACCATATAAATTTATGGGGTGGGAAATCCATTTGTTAGGCAGCATGTGGCGATTTTGTACTATTTATCTGGCAGATGTGATGGGTAATATACTACACAATGATTTCGACTAATACCTCTCATGCATTCTCATATGTTGCAAGACCGCCGAGTTCTAACAAACCCTCCGCACATCGAGGCATTTGCTGACCACTTTTCCGTAACCATCACTTTTCAGGGATCTACGGTCGACAGGGAAGCCAGCGAGAAAGAACGGGTGAGAACAGCTTCGACTTCTGAAACGGCGTGCTTGAAAGCGAGGCTGATCTTTCGCCCTCTAGTGACACGTGGCTATATTTCTCATCTCTTGGCCCCTACAGGAAAAGAACATCCCCACGTTGAAAGACAATGACCTTGTCAAGGACGGAACTAAAGTGCACGTCGGGACCGATGCCAAGGAGCGGTTCCTGGAAATGCTCACTGCCGATGTAAATGTAAGCAACGTTGGCATTTCAGCTCGTATACGCCTAAAGCATTCAGCTTCCCACGCGAGTTAATCCCAAAGGAGGGGGCTGGCATCCAAAATCTTCTTCAGCAGAATTTGTGATTGAGGAAGGAAGCACATTTTACAGAAAAATTCAAGCGACAAGATAATTCATAACAAGCTCAAATTCAACTTGTGGGGAGACTCAACAGAGTCCGGTGGTTTACAGACCAACTACCATAGAAAAGGAGACGAGGGGGAGTGAACATCATATAGTGCCCTACTCACCCTGTAGCACTATGCATTGTTCCATGAATCTTATACTGCCCGTAACGGAGGGTAGTTTATTGAGAAGTAGCAAAGTATCTTGCTGGCCTGGACTTTCGTGGCCCAAGATTTTAACTTGAAGTTAATACAGGTGTAGGAACATGGGAAGCAGTGCACTTTCATTTCAAGTGGATAAGGCCGAGTCGGTGTTTTGAACGAAGGAAATCCTAATCAGCTACACCTTGCTTTCAGTTAGCATGAGGACTGCTTAGAGTTTGTACGCTGCAGCCTTGGGTACTTTTATAAGAAAATGGCGATAGTGTAGACTCGCATAACGTATGTCACAGGAGTCGCAAAAATTCACACTAGCGGTACCACGCTATAACCAAAACACCAATTTTTCAGGTCACAATACGGGCCATGAGACAACTTACCTTTGTGAAACGATTTATTTTATATTCAATGTAAAAGTAGGCTCAGTCTCAGGAAAGCTTTTATTTCACTAGACTAGTCCATTTTTCTCTCAAGCATGTCAAGCATTTTGAAAGAAATTAGTGATTTTTGCCTGGGACTTGCCTTTTAACAGCGTTGCGGATGACTTGGCCTTTGATAACGCTAAGGCATTTAAACACCTCATCACTGAAGGAGTTCTGCTCACAGTGAACTTTCAGTTTCTGTAAGAATTTTAGTGCATCTTTACTTGAAACTTCCAGCGTGCTCTCTTCGTCATCGTCCGACTCATATCCAGGTGGACTCACCCCAAAACCTTGCACGGCTGCAACAATAGCTTCATCGGTGGTTGCTTCCTCACGGATAACAGTCATCCTCTTCTACATCGTATTTTTGAAATGTGTCGTTTGCAGTGGTTTTCCACACGTCGTCCGTACCGATCGCCTTGTCAATCGCATCACTGCACCGATCGTCGTCCTCAGAATTCGCTGCATTATGCACAAACCCTGCAATGCAAAAACACTTCTTGATGGTTGTCGCTTTTACTTGCCACCACGGCGCAGTGATCATGTCAATGGTGCGCCCCTCAAGTCCACCCTGATGGGTTCCTCTCGTTGCAATTTCAAGACATATCTCGCACGTGCGCATCTTGTAGAGCGCGTTGGCTGTTGCGATGACGCTCTGATTGAGAGGCTGACTTTTAGCAGTGGTGTTTGCCAGCAGGAGCTTCAAACTGACTGCGCTTAATTGCGGCTGCACACTGTGAGTGCTGCAGTTGTCCAGGATAAGAACGACGCACCGTTTTTGTGCGACCATGGCCTCATCGAAACTTTTCAGCCAACTATCAAAAAACTATTGGGTCATCCAGGCCTTTCCATTTGCTGTGTGCACCTCAGGCAGACATTCTCGCTTCTTGAAGCAACGGGGTCGTTTTGATTTCCCGATGATAAACAAGCGCCGTTTGTCGGAGCTGTCCATGCTTTCACAAAACAAAACCGTGACACATTCCTTTGAGACTTTACGGCCGGAACAGGGTTCACTTCTCATCGCCAGAGTACGGTCGGGAAGCATGTTGTAGCACAGACCAGCTTCATCGGCATTATAGATGTTTTTGTCCATATATGCAGAAAGTATAATCTCGAAAGGAATGTGAAACCACGTCTGGGTGCTGGCGTCGTCGACTTCCCCACTTTTTCCCGAGATAACTTTGCCTAATCCCGTGGCAGTCTTTTAAACTGCTCGATCCATCCTTTCAGGAGGTTGGAGCCTTTTTGTTCGAGCAAATGTCCAAAGGACCTAGCCTTCGCTTTCAGCATTGGGCCACTCACTGAGACGTTCTTGGCTTGTTCTTTGCGAAACCACCTAAACAAGGCTTCGTCAATGTCTTTATACTTTGACGTACAAATCCTGTTTCTTGAGAGCGACGCAGAATCTTGCTGTAGCTGCTTCCGTACCTGCTCCCGGTTCTTCCAGACAATAGAAACCGTTCTGTCATCGACATTGTACTTGGCCGCTACGGAAGCTTTTTTCATGCCTTTTTCGACATCTTTGACGATGCTTTGTTTAGTTTCGAGAGACAGGGCTTGTCGTTTCTTGTCCATCTTGGGCTTGGGAGACAGGGACAGATCGGGATGGACGGTCGATTTCCGCACGATATGGTTCACGTGGTCCACGTGCGGTTCATACAGACGTGGAGCAAGCTAGCAAGCTGCAAGAAGCGAAATAAGAAACTATCCAGCTATCCAGCCTTTGTTTTGCACGCGGTGTAAGAAAGGAGGTTGGTTTTGCGTCACTTGAGCGAGGGGACGAAATCGAAAGGGCTGGTGGCTTTTTAGGGCTTTCGGAGTTGAGGAGGCCCTTGCGTGTGTCGCACCTCGCTACCTCGCTGCGTTGTAACTCAATTTGTTGTCATTCGTTTCTCGCCTCTCTCTTTGCTTCTCCTCGCTTCTTCCGTGCAACGTCCTTGCCATCCTTGCCCCTGCTAGTGCCGCTTGCACGGTTATCCGGTGTCGCACAGGGAAGGCGTGCTTGTTGCACCGGTCGGTCGGCGGGCTGTTCCAGAAACCGCACTATAACCGGTATTTCCCTTCGTGCGCCTGCATTTTAAGCGGTATGTAATTACATGGAGTTGTATGGGAGGCGGACCGGTGGTTGAAAAAGTCTCTATATCCGGTCATGCACTATAAGTGGTTACGTTATAAGTAGGGTTCGGAGTTTTCGGTTTAAACCGATAAAAACCGATAAAAGTACGCCGAATCCATTTTCAGAAATTCGGTTTTAACCGAAAAAGGTCAGTTTGTAGGTTCGCCATTCTCGACTTAAATCAATAAAAACCGATAAAAGTACGTCGAATTCATTTTCTAAAATTCAGATGTAAAGGGATACTGAACCGAAATATGGATTTCGCAAAGTAAGGCTGCAGAACTGTTGAACGGGACGCTACGAACTCCAAAACACCACTCGTACATCGATATCTCAAACGGATGGCCGTACTTTTGAAAAAGGGCGCGATCAAGCGAGTTCTTTGACATCACTGCCCTCCGGGAGAATTTGAGAATGAGAAGAAGCGGCCTCGCTTCTCTCCTCCTCGCTTCGGTTCACATACTTGAAGGGACGTAGCGAGGAGGAGAGAGAATGGGAATCGTGACGTGCCTTGTCTCGTCGGCCTCGTCGGCCGGGTTCAATCGCGCACTTCTTTTCCGAAAAATACGGCGATCCGTTAGAGATATCGCCGTATGAGTGATATTTTTTGGTTTTGCAGCTTCCCGCCTATCCGCCCGGCCCTGTTTAGTGAGGTCGAAATTTTGGTTCAGTATCCCTTTAAAGGGAAGCTACGGAGCTTCTTGAAAAAAATGAGTTAGAAGTGAATTCTAGTGTATTTTTACCTCTTGCACCCGAATACCAAAACCATTTGGCGGGCAAGTATTGTTAAACGCGAGAAAAACGCGAAAGACCGTCGGTGTCCGTGACGTCATCGACGGATCTTTTGGCTTGCCAAGGCTAGGGAGGCGGGGCTTCAGCCCTATTTTCAAATTGCTCATATGGCTCTCCGGTGCGTCCCATTGAGATATAATTGTGATATCTGTTATTCTGAAGGTCAAATGAACGCAATTCAAGCGTTTTTTCTCGAATTTAGAAGTGCCCCATCTTCCCTTTAACCGGAAAAGGTCACTTTGACCTTCCAGTCGTACCGCAGCGTCGTGGCGAAAAAGTGGAACGAGAGTGCCGACCGAAACCTGTCTGAATGTATGGGATACACGGATGCCATCATGACGTTATGGTTTAATGTGCGCATCATCGATCTGAACTTAAAGTCTGAAATGCCCCATGACTTCCCCGTGTACGAGCCAGTTTTCAAACTCGTTGTAAGGAAGACTGGACGCAAGCTCTGCATGTTGTGTTGTGCTTCAAAACGACGCACCGTGTCTCTTTTGGCGGTCACAACTGGTTAAATGGCAGATTTTCGCTCAGGCAGCGCTTCATCTCCTCAGCCCGCCAGTGTCCAGTATTAGCGTTAAGAGGGCATTCTCGAAGCTGAGAGTCATATTAACAAAAAAAAAAAAAAAAAAAAAAAGTGCGGATCAACAAAGAAATTTTGGGAAAGTACATGTGTGTGTATTATAATAAGATCACGTAATCCCGATGTACAGAAGGTAAAGTTCCATGCTTTGGGGGCATAAGGTTCATATCTGACTTGTTTGTACTTCCGTCTTTTTTTGTTGTTTCTTTTACAGTTGCAAACATTTGCCAAATAAAGTGTCAATTTCTTTATCAATGTATCTGTGCAGTTATTCTTTGAGTGATCACAAATATCAAAGCTACAAGGATCGTCTGATCCGGTGTCCGTTAGTGTTTATTTTAATTCACCGAAAGAAGCCGATAAACTTTTTTAGGCATAAATATACACCGAAAAAAACCGAAAATTGAATTTTAAAATAAACACCGAAAAAAGTACGCCGAATTTTGAAATAATAGAAACCGAAAACGCGGAACTCTAGTTATAAGTAGTCTGTACATAGGGTTGTTCGTTTTCGGGTTTTATATTTTTTGACATTCGGGGGGTAAAAATCTGGAGCTATTTTTCAAGCTGAAAATCGGGAAGAAATTGGGTTTTTTTGTGGAAACATTTCGAAATTCGGGTTTTTTTGGGTTGAATTTACAAATGTACTCAGCAAAACATTTGTTTTTTTAAATTATTATTGGAGGGAATCACGAGCTCTTTAATGCTAACGCGTTCAAATTGGGGGTATGTTTCAAGCTGGTAATGGGGGGTCATCAGGGTTTTCCAGCTCCGATTGCCATCGGTCGCTTCAAGGGAAGCACCGCCCATGGAATCCTCCTCTCCTGAGATGTCAACAAGAACCCAGACCGTTCGATGGACGGTCTTCTTCGATCAGATATTTCAATATGGAATAAACCTGTTAAGTTTTCCCTATCTGTTTACGCGACTGACTGGCTCGGACGTTGTTCGTGAGAAGGGTAGACCGCCAGCGAGATGGCCATGCTACCCAAGAGACCCTGCTGGGCTTTGACACCTAACAGCGGTCGAAGGGGGATTGATAGTGAATTTCACAAGCTGCGTGCAGCAGGGCTGAAGCTATGTGTCGTGCCGAGGCGGTTTTAACTGCACAACGGGGGGACGGAAATGTTCCTCTGAGGCCCCAACGCCTATTGTCGCTTTTCTTCGGTCGGCCTCTGTAGAATGTCACGGTGAGTTAGGCGTGCTCATTGGGCGGTTGGTATAGAGCTAGGTAGCGTCCAGAGTGCTGCACGCAGCTCGCAAAATGAACTATAGCTCACTGTTGCCCCAAGGTAGGGTAGATAGCGTGTGTGCAACCCAAACTCCGTGCGGAGTAAAAATAAATAGATTGGTTATGTGGTTTTGGAATTCGGGGAGAAATCGGGTTTAACCCAATTCTCCTGAAACATATTTGGGGTGTAAAAATCTGGTAAAATCGGGTTTTTCCTGAAAACGAACAACCCTATCTATGCTGTAAAGGTGCAACCAACTCCTGGCAAGCTCTTTAAAAGGCTAGTTGGGCTGGCTCCTTCATTGCCATTCATCAGTCTGCTAGCTGAGCTTCAAGCCCCGTCTTCTGCATGCAGAAGGCTAGCATTCAATATCTGTTCCTGGAAAACGCATTATATAGGTTAGTTCCAAAATTGGCAGTAACCTTTTATGAACGTCGTTCGGATTTTGTGACTTCTGTGGAGAAATTTAAGCTGCAGTCGTCTCTTTAACTGGCTCCAGCGTCACCATTTTAGAAATCCTTCGTGCAAACCTCCAATAAGATGCGACTCGGCCAGTACCACCTAGAAGTCGAGGCCTGCGGATTACGTAGTGGATTCCCGATTCGCTGCAAGTGATTAACACGCTCATGCTTGGCACAAGTACATGCAGCAGAATGCATAGTACGCTGCGACTATACTCGTGAGACGCTGGAAGGCATGCATGGGCCAACATGGGCACTAGCCGAGCAATGCTATATGGATCCCCTGGCGATGGCTGTGGAGGAGGAAAGGTGCTGGTCTGGTCTTCTACCACAAGATGCCGAGCACAGCTTTGGTTTCACAATAAGCATCTACTCCCTTAATTTTTAAACATATCAGGCGCCCACCCGAGCTAACCGAGCTGTTCCTCAGCGTCGGCGGCTCCCCCAAAAGCCGGTGCAAGGCAACGATGCTTCATGCGTGTGCGCTGTTGCGAAACAGGGAAGCTTTATGTGCGTGTGCCAGTGCGAAACAGTGAAGTTTCGTGTGCGTGCATTGGTGTGAAACAATGAGGATTGATGAGAGAGCGCCAGTGCAAAGCAGGCTTAACAAGATTGGTGCGGCTACTTTAGAGGTGAGGGTTTCTGTTGGACCCTTATACTGCTCTTATTCCATTCTTTTTTTTTAGAGCGCAGCTCTTAGGCGCTTGTTCCCGGCTTGAGCGGCGTCGCCGTCGGCGTAATTGCGAGTTACCCTCGTAACCCTCGTAAGGGTTACGAGGGTTACAAGGGTTACTCTCACGAGGGTAACCCTCGTAACCCTCACGAGGGTTAAGAGGGTTAGTTACCCTCAAAAGGGTTACCCTCACGAGGGTCACGAGGGTTATGAGAGTTACCCTCACGAGGGTTACGAGAGTTACCCTCACGAGGGTCACGAGAGTTACCCTCACGAGGGTCACGAGAGTTACCCTCGCGAGGGTTACTAGGGTTACCCTCACGAGAGTCACGATGGTTACCCAAATCACGTGACCCCCCCCCCCCCCCCCCCCCCCCCCCCCGAGGTCACGTGACCCCCGTTGACGTCATCGCCACTGATGACGTCATCAGTGACGTCACGGGCATCCACATCGTCATCGTCATCATCACTGATGACGTCATTAGTGACGTCACCGGCATCCGCATCGTCATCGTCATCATCGCTGATGACGTCACCAGTGACGTCACTGATGACGTCATCAGCATTGTCACGTGACCCCCCAAGGTCACGTGACCCCCCGCCACCCGAGGTCACTTGACCCACCCCCCAGTGCCCTTCCCTCCTCCTCCTCAAGAGCTGCGCTCTAATTCTGTGTTACAGGGAGTTGTAAACGGCTTTAATTTTTTTTTTCTATCAAACAAGGGCTTACCCTATCATATGTCACTTTTTCTTGTCTGCTGTTGGATGAGATAAATGCCCATCCCCATCTTTTACTGCGATAGCTGCTATGGGTTCTTCCCACCACTGGAAATGACGTCTGTTGTCGTCGTAGTTGGAGTAGTGTAAGATAGGTCGTCAATGCTGGCAAATAAGAATTAAAAAAAATTGCCCGCCACCCACTGGAATAAAACCTGGGTCTGCTGCGTGCCAGGCGGAGCCGTTACCACAGAGCTACGCCACAGCGTTAACAACCTGCTTTATACTTGGGGTTTTTAAAGTATGCAACAACCACTGCATGTGCTCTCTGGAAAAAAAGAAATCTACGATAACAAACTTGTTGTAGCACCGTGAAAGCCAAGAGCTTGTACTGGGAGACGGGCTTTCACGTGTTTTGGAGCAAGAAAAAAACAAAAGCCATGGAACAAAATGGTCAGATGTCTATTTTGTTTCAAACACTTTCGTTCACGCATCCCACGATGCATGCCCATAGACTTCGCTCATGCCCAATGACCTTGCTGCGACTGCTCCATTTTTTGTTATGTCAACTTTCAAGTGGGTGCTTTCTCTGTATTTTACGGTGGGTGGTACCGAATCGGCCCAGTTTGAGGCAGATTCATTAAGCGTGCCTGTGGGTGCCCAGTTCCTGGCCCAGATGAATGTGATGGACTACTCGCTGTGCCTGGGCATCCACGACGTGGAGCGGGCGGAGCAGGAGGCCATAGAGCGGGAGCGGCAGGAGGCGCTCATGGAGGAGGCCGACAACTGCACAGGCGGCAGCGATGCCATGCCCCCGTCGGAAGAGGACGAGGACTCAGCGGGCTCTGGCCTCGGGGACGCCGTGCCCACGCCGCCGGACTCGCCCGGTGGACGCCGCAATGAGCTGGGCCGGATCTCCAATGGCATGTTCAACCCGGCCAGGGACATCTACGCCATCAGCAGCCTCGAGGGTGAGCGGATGGAGGGGTCGGGGGTTTCCTAAATGGTTTCAAATGTTCCCCAGAGTACCCTCCTGGGCTCCCTGGGCTCCCGAATTTCTTCAAGTCTTTCACCTAGTAATAGTTTTGTTCTAAACTTTTTTTTTTCTCTGAAGAGGGATTGGATATTTTTGAGTTACGAGGTTACGGCGTGCCGTGCGACAAGTGTTTGCTAATCCTTCCGAGCCCGTATCTCCGCATCACGGAGTACAGAACCTCCGTTGTCCCATTGGCATGCCCCCCATTGACGTCACGCTATTTGGTTCTCATGGCCGCCGTTTGTGGCTGCAAGTCGGGAAATATTTTAATTTTCGCCTTGCGATTATGCAGCGGAATCGCAACATTTTGAAGGAATTAGATGTGTTTTCTGTCCTTTGTGACAAGATAAACAATGTAAAAAGTAGAAGATGCAGATTCTTTCAACGTTAAAATCCTTGCACTGCTCCTTTAATGGGGCAGTGCCAAGACTGGGAGGGGTCCCTCAGCTGCTATCCAAGGCAAATGGGCATTTCTCGAGACTAAAAAGTTTTGGAACCCCTGGTCTAGATTAACACTTCCTAGACAGCAAGGCCAAAGGGCTGGCTTTCACACGTCGGCAAACAGGAAACCGGTGTGGGGTGCAGATTGAACACGAGTGCCGCGACATCATTCAATCGGCGAGGAATACCCTCCCTCTCCGATTTAACGGTACTTGCAGCCGAAGGCCAATGCAGTAGCGGTGTCCAGTCTATTCCCCACACTGGCTTCCGGAAGGTGACAATGAAAATCCAACACCTTGGCCTTGTTATCCGGGAAATGTTGGCTGGATGGACTGACAAAGTCCATGGACCTTCGTCTTCTTGTTTCAGGGGCTCCGAAGAAGGAGGTGTACTTCATGGCCCTGGTGGACGTGCTGACGCACTACGGCGTGAAGAAGCGTACGGCCCAGGCGGCCAAGACGATGAAGCACGGGGCGGGCGCCGAGATCTCCACGGTGCACCCGGAGCAGTATGCCAAGCGCTTTCTTGACTTCATCTCCAAAGCCATAGACTGAACGAGCGTGTGCTTCTGCTGTGCAGGGGAGTGAAAGAGTCAGCGAGTGCTTGTGAGCCGGGGGGAGAGGGGGGTCCCTTTTGCTTTCGCGTTCCTTATTTTATTTTGAGGAACAATTTCCTTTCTCCACTTTGTCTTTCCTCCGCCCCTGCCGTCGTGCACCTTTTCTTCTTTTTTTTTTTTTTTTAATAGAAGCTTTGTGTTACTGCTTTTTGAGAGGATCTTGGAAGCAAGATCTGCTCCAGCAAGGCGTGGCTGAGCACCTCCGGTCCGCTTCAGCAATGCTCCAAGTTGCTGTTCGGATGCTCAGGCTTGGCAGGCAACTTGGCGTATGCTGGCGTACGACACAAAAGTCGACAGTCTTTGCGATTTTTGCCCTTCACACTGGTTTGGAGATCGACTCTACGGTGTGCAGCGTTTAAGGTTGCGTGGTTTACGCCCTCTGGCCGACCATGCTTTGACAAAAAAGCCAGGCACTGGAAAGTGGTGAGGCTGTAAATGTTGTCTGTATAGTGTCGCTAGCTTTCATGCTCTGCGAGTGTCGAACATGCCATATTGCGTCTGTCCTGGCAAGCTGCCCCACAATTTCAGGTTGCAGGCACGGGAGGGATGTTTCCTGCATCGGTTTGTGGTTGCACGAAGGAATGGAATCGATTGTCGAAAAATTCTGAGTGGATATGCAAGCTGTTTGTGAACACTCCCACCTCTTTTTCTTTCTTTATAATGCATGTTTGATTTAATACACAATGTCAAAAAGTTTCTTTTTTTTTTTTTTGTGAAAGGTGGCTTTGTTTGATGCTCACCACCATTTTAATGCTTCCAAATCTACCCCGTTTTACATTCTGCAAGGTGTGCTGCATGGTTTCTTTTTTGTCGAAAGTGGCGACACAAAAGCTCTGGGTCGTTTATGTAGTAATGTAATTCTTCGTCTGTCTTTTAGAATGCACGGTGGCCGACGTCGCAAATCGTCGCTCAATACTGGCATGCTATCGTGCTGAATGGTAGAGTACGGTGAGAACAGGATGGAGATTCGGACATATTTTCGTGAGCCTGGCGACCCCCGTGCAACGTGGGAAGCGAAATCGCTGTTTGAAAAAACAAAACGTGTCCACATAGTTTCTCTTCCAGTATTGCTCAGTGGTTTGTTAAATTTCTGTGGTCGGTATACAGTGTTTTTGTGTGTGCATGTGGCGAGTGTTTTTGTGCTCGGGTCGCCGCCGGAATGCGGCGACCTCCTCGGCGAATCTGTGAATGAAGCGAGGTCTTCTAATGACATCCATGTATCTCTCCCCCTCGTTTTGCTAGTCTCCAGTTTGGATGTCGTGTCTCAACGTGTCGTCTCGCTTTCGCGCCCGGTTCGTTTCTGTGCCACTGCCTCCTATGCCCTTCTGGCTTTTACACAAACAGTGCTACCACGCACCGCGACGTCTGCAAGGTTCCCGTAGCCCTGTTGATGGGAAGCGTCTGGTCGAGCATCTCGCTTGTTTGTGCAGGCTCTCGTGCCACTCTCGCTCCTCGCAATTTTCGTCTCTCGCCCCCTTCACCTCTCGTCACGTTTGTCTCTTTGCTGGACGTTCGTGCAAGCAGTGTTAGCCGTCATTTCTGGATTCTCGTTTGTTCCATGGGGAAATGGGCAGTGTTCCACAAGGGAGTGGGCTGTGGTGAACAAGTGCAGACGACCCAACAATACTCATTGCTATCTACCTACCAGTCACCCATCCAAGCTTTCAATAAACTAGAGGATGAAAAAAGAAAAAAAAAAAAAAAACTATAGTATTTCCACTCTGGGCAGAGCAGTCTTTGGCCATTCTAGATAGTCCTCTAGTGATTTCTTTCAGAACTCCGTTGGTAGTCCTAGCTGAATCCTTATTAAGCACAAGCTTGGTTAGTGTTGTTTTATTCCATAATCGATTGCTTCCGGGAGTTTAGATTTCCTGCGGTGCAACGCAGGTTGCAAGTTTCAGGGTTTGCTATTCTTGGAGGCCTAGAAATTCTGCCGTTCTAAATGTCAGATTTGTAATGTGGACGATTACCCCGTTAAATGCCTGCTTACAATGCAGCGCAGTTCTTTTTTTTTCCGACTTGCCTAGTGGTGCTGGCAGCCCAAATATCGTGGAGGTTGTGATACCTGCAGCGCAAACTTGTTGGCGTCATTCAGGTGATGTGTTTCATATTAGAGTTTTCATATTAAGTCATTAGGGCTTCGATAATAAAAAAATAAAAAAAGCAGCATAGTGGCAGGGCTTGCAGAACTTAGATTAAATGTTCAAGCTGCAAATTGGGTATGCTACTGTTGTGATATTAAGGAATTGCCATTGCTTATGAGCACATGGACAAAGTATAGTTTTACTTGTTCTGTGATGCATCATAGAACAGGCTACTATTGAGCTCTTGCTGTGGGGAAGGATTCTATGTACTTTCACCGCACATAGAAATGTATTTACATGTCGCATATTAGCTACATACGAGCGTGGGACCTCTTTTGTGTTTGTAGCTTTGGAATTTGGGAACAGGAGACATTTTGTGGCATTAGTATGTATCGTTCCAGGCGAGAAATCACCATCTCCTTTGCCCCATCCAAAGGGCACTTGCACAACTCAGCAGTGTATATGTATTATTTCTGGTGTAAATATGTTCATTTCTATATGACACTCAAAATAAATTTTTAGACATGTAACATGCAAAAATAACTGATGCCATTGTTGATTTCATTTGTTTTATTGACAAGAATGATGGTATTAAATAAACACACTGAGCAGAGCTGTCACCTACAAATGTTGTGTAAACAAAAATATTGCTTTCAAATGGCACACAACTCTAAACAATGCCCAGATCCTGATCAAAATTTTCAAATTGAATACCAGTGCTTGGAGTGCTTTGATCCAATACATGCTAGTACCAGATGCCCCATACACAGTAGATATGACTATCTGACGGCACACGAACCACCAAGTATCAATAGTGAGCAAAACAATGTGTGAAGAACATTGTAAATAAGAATATGCAGGATAAAAATGATTTGTAAACCTCTCCTATGTAGTGCAAATTAACAAATTTATTAAAGCACTAGAAGGTCTGTGGCAACTAGGAACCTGGAGATTAAAACATATATGTACAGCAAGTTCACTAGGCAGCCTCTTTTAAAAAAAAATTTTCTTGGACTAGAGATTTATGGTGGGTAGGTTGATTAGTTGCCAAGCATTATCACAGCAAGGGTTCTACATTGTTCCAGGAGACAGAAGCACCTTTCCATCTGAAACAAAAGAAAATTGCTTTTGATGAGTGTAAAAGAAAATCTGGAAACATTTGAGCACCAAATACTGAGGCCCTACTCGAAGTAGTGAGAAACAGTTCATTGCCAAGAACACAAATGAAGCGAGAAACCCCAAGCCCATGGACCTTTGAAATCTCTATCAATTCCCAAGGAACTAAAAACACTTTGAAAAACCTGTTGGACTTTATAAATGAATATTTTTCCGGAGGACTAGCACAACATGTATTTTTACTTCAAAAGTCCAAACCACGGAGCAGCAAGACCAAACAGGACGTGCAGACAAAAACAATATGGTGCCCCTCGACATACGGTCGCTTTTTCCAGGAGTCGCTCCAATTTTTTAATGTCTCTCTGTATGTGTGACCACCGGAGCACATACAACAAAGTGTACTTCTTTGAGTAGGGTACTTCATTACTACATAATTATTTGGTCTACAAGGTCTCAAGATTGCCTCAACAGTACCACATTTCCCAAAGACGGCACCACTGCCAGCGGAAATTCCAGAGTCTGAGAGGTGTAGTTGCATGCGCCATCTTACCTCGTCCTGATGCACAACTCCAAGGGTGGCGTCATCACAATGTTGTCGTCCGTCACACCAGCATTTGGATCTGAAACGGTGTACAGAACGTTGGCAAGTCTTCCCACCACTATTGATTTCATACATTTACGACAGCCAGACGACTGCGGCATACAGTAGCATTTACTCTAGCAAATGGCAAATATTAATCATCACCGTGTGTAATGTCTCATAGCAGTCTCAACTTTTCACCAAAGCTATATTCTAGTGGTGCATTTTACCTCATGCAATTTCGAGGTGTGGCTTCCTTCCTGGAAGAAAGACTAATAAACTTGCCAGGGTCAATGGGGGATCTCGATGCAGACAACTGAGTAAGCGAGAATTAAATATAAACTGCATGTAAGAGATTAAGCGAGCAACGAGACAAGCAACGGCGATCCGCTTCGCTGTCGCTCAGTCACTCGCGTGACGAAGCAAACCGCATGAAAACAACAGGAGCAAGCGACCAAGGCGATGAGTGACGTTTTCTCGAAATCCAAAAACCGAGCGATGCGACAAGCGACGGTGAGAAATCTCTGTCACTGTTGCTCGTCTCGTCGCTCGCTAAATCGCTTGCATGGGGTTCAGCCTTTAAGCTCTGGCACCATCTCCCGTAAGGTGAGTGAGAACATATTTGCTTTTGATTGTGTTGTCTGTTCACTGCAGATAGTTATTGTGAGTGTATTGTGAGTGTAAGCCTAATTGGAACAACCAGGAGTTAGCGAGGTCAGTTGTTGAACCAAAGGAAACTCTGGTAGTCATAGGTGAAGTTGCAATAACCAAAAGCTGTATCGAACAAAACACTGTCGCCACGGCTGAACAGCGGCGTTCTATTGAGGATCGACGTCTTGTGCAGCAAGACGCGGCGCTTTGCTTTTTTACCGACGGTCAGCCTAATTTCGTCGTCCTGCTTGTTGAGGCCGTCGTAGTAGTAGAGCTCAAACTGCCGCTCTCCGGGGTCCAGCGCCAGGCGGCACTTGGAGAAGAGCACCGAGAAGTGGCTCTCGCTCAGCACAATCCAGATGGGGAACCTGGGGTCCTTGTAGTAGGAGCCAACCTGCAGGCGTGGACAGAGTGGCAGTCACATTGCTAGTCTTGTGCGAATAGTGGATTTTGAGTCCGAAGCGAATTCGAAGCGAATAGTGGTTTTGGCCGAATATTTTCGATTCGAATATCGAATAGTTTTTTAACGCCTTTCACTACCATTGCATAATGCTTAGACGAAAACCCAGCTAAACCTGTAAAGGTTATTCCACTTTTTCATTCATAAGCTAAGCTTAATCTATCTATATTTATGAACTGTGTTCTCAGAAGGTCTGGTGTCTTGGGATGGCAAGTAAACGACGGATTTGACATAAAACGAATCCTATATAGATGGCCAACTATAGCAATTGAGTGACTTTACGAATCTTGATATATAAAATATTTTTTCTTTAATCTCAAGTTAAAAAAGAATGAGTCGCGCATGATGAACACAGGTTGTAAAATCATCTCTATCTAACATAGTATACTCTTCCATAAAAGTTTAATTTTGAAACTTTTACTACAATGTAGATATACACATTCACAAAGTTTCCATTTATTTTCAAATACAGTCGGCACGGGTGCACCATCCCGCTTTGAATGTATGCTTTTTTGAGCACGCAATTACGATATTGTTTATCGCGGCGGGTTACCCCGTTAAGTGCGCTTCTTAGCGAGCACCGATGTAATGCGGAGAAGCAACACCCGCGGAGCTCACATCCGCGGGTTTTGCTTCTCCGCAACGCACCGGTGCTTGGTAAGAAGCGCACTCAACGGGGCCAACCCGCCGTAATCAACACTTCGAAAAACGCGAATAGTGCAGTTCTTTTCGAAGCGAATATCGAATAGTGTATTATTCGGAACTACTATTCGAAATTTCGAATATTCGCACAACCCTACACATTGCAGTAGCTTTGTGTGGGCTGGTTGGGAAGACTTTAAAGGCCGATTACCAGGTGCAACCGCTTTTGACGAAAGAGTGCACCGGCAAACTGACACCATCTGTTGGGTGTCGTCTATCAGGCGTCGCCCCGAAATGCATATGTGCGAACTGAACTGTGTTCTAATCTCATCTCGACCTTTGCGGCATGAGAAACTGTCCGTCAGACCGATCTGTTTCCTAACAGTGGTAAAAAAAAAAGCCGGCAATAATGGTGCCACCTCGTTTCTGTTGGTACCACTGATGTCGCTGCGTGAAGAGGCACCGGCGACGGGAACTTCAGAACGGGTCGACCAAAAACTGAGGGTAAGTTTAGCTGCTTTCGCGAAGCGTGCCGGCTAATCTGGCCTAGAGACGATGAATGTCTCCGCGCCAACACTTCTGTCCTCTACAGCTGCTGCTTTTTGGGAGCGGCTACCTCAGAAATGACACCGTCACGAAACGATCGCGCTCCGGCACAAGCTTGGTGATCGCTGGGAAATCTCTGACACCGGTCATCGTTGGACTGCTCAGCATTTCTGGGATGCCAATCTACATCACATCTGTTTGGGAGTGTCAGCTGACATCCTGTACGGGGAGCGCAAAGGGCCAATACACCCTGCTACCGTAGTGACGATAGATTTTTATTGCTGCTGCCTTTCACACAAAGAGAATGCAACTTCCTTCTGTCTATGAAAGTGTTATTCATAAGCTTCTTAAAACTAGCGGGCGACGTCGAAGAAATCCCTGGTCCTGACACTGACAGGGCTGTCATTCTACAGCAACTACTGAAGGGTCGAATTGCTATCTTCGGTAAGCTATATGACATTGAAAAAAGACAAACGAAGTTGGACAGCCTGATGAGTGACTTTGGAGCTAGACCTGAATCACTGGAATCTAGAATGCAAACTTTTAAAAATGCAGAGCGTGACATGGCACAAGTATCTAACTAGGTCTAGATCTTGTCAGGAAATGCAGATTATGTGGTTAAGGAACGAGAAGACTTGGAAGACTGTGATAGAAGATAAAGGGCCCATGAAACAAATTTTGGGCTTGAATAAATCAATTTATATTAGGATTTTACTAATAGCATATCGTTCAGTGGGCCAAAAGAAAAAAAGGTAGGAAGTCGGAAGCCCGACTTTAGGTACGAAAATTTGAGAACACAGCGAACCATTTCGTACCTCCTTCCCTTCGTAAGCTCTCTGCCTTTTCACTGTGATACATCTGCGGTCCCCGCAGCGCGTCACCAGGCCCCCGCAGCGCGGCGCCGGGCCTAAACGCACGTCACACGAAACTGGACCTTACTTATTCCCTTCACCCCTAAGCTGACATTGTGGTGGAAGCTACGCACTTGCTGGACCAATCAGCCACGTCCCTTCCATCACCTGACCTCATTCTCTGCTCGAGAGAGAGCGTGATCCCGTGGCAAAAGTGTGGCTGGCCCAACGAGCACATAGCTTCCAGAGCACTGTCAGCTTCGGGGTGAACAGGGTGGGGAAAGCAACTCTTGTCTGAATTTTAGGCGAAGGGCTAACCTTCTAGGGGGAGAATGGATGTGTCCGGATTACACAAACGAGAGTCCGAGCAAGAGGGGACACCCCCCTTTCCGTCTTCTTCAACTGTTTGGTAGAATGCGCGATTCATGAGTTGAGGAGGATAGCTAAACAGGAAAAAGTTGGAAAAGCGTTTCATGACTCCTTTAAACCTTGTTTTTTATGGTATCGGAGATCAGGAGCCCCGCTAGAGCTTGGAATCGTCTGAAAACCTCATAAGGGGCCTTTGCCAGGAGAGATTGCAGGTAACTGCAGGGAAATTCAGAGAGCCCACAGGATCGGGAAGTATCTGCCTAACCACAATTGTCCTCTAATAGTAAATTTTGCACCTTACAAGAACGCAGAAAAAATGCTTAGCTATGGTAGGAAACTGAAAGGCAGTAATTACGGCGTCTCGAGGGATTTTTCAACTCGTGTCGGGGAAATACGACGTCGGCTATGGACGCTTTGCAAGGCATGGAAACAAAACAGCCAGGACAAGGTTTCGCTGGTGCATAAGCTATTCATAAATGGTGTTGCAATGAATGGGATGACATCACAGAATCTAAAAAAAGACTGAATAAGCAATGACAACCTGTTTGTGTATTGAAAACCGTGACAGAATGTAGCGTCCTCACTATCGAAGCATAAAAAATAAAATTGATGATTCCAATGGGCTCCTGCATATTTTTAACCCCCATCTGATCTTTGCAACTGTCTTAGTTGAACACTTCAATTAAAAACGCCAAAATATTTGTGCGATTATCGCGTCTATAGAAAAGATAGGAGTTCACGTGGGGGAACGGGTATTATGGTCAAAGAATCTTGCATAGTACAGAAATTGATGTTCAATGTAACGACGCAGAATCTGTATGGTGCAGATTAAGTACTACAGAAATGGGCACCATGGCATTAGGTCCTTTTTATCGTCCTCCTGGGGCCAGTGTTGATGCTATCAGGTCATTAGATTCTATCTTGTCCACTCTTCCTGATGATTGTTTTATTTTAGCTGGGGATTTTAATTTGCCAGATTTAAGATTGGACGGAAGTAGACTACCTAGTGGTGTTTCTTCAGCATTTCTTGATGTAACTAGTATGTATGGCCGTGGGCAGTACGTTTTGCCTGCCACAAGAGGAGCCAATATTTTGTACAGTTCAATCTGTGAGCGTTCTACCGGGAATAAGCGATCATAAGGTAGTTACTGCCAGATTCATTCTGCTTCAATTAATACCTGCCAACGTTGATGTTAAAAAAGTGCCCAGGTACAGTAGGCCGATTACATTGAAATGATAAACGGACTAGAGGTCGAACTGTAGTCGATGACAGGTCAAGAACGAAGTGGACGCTCCTCCCACCTCTTTCCACTTCAGCAGAGCGAATGCTGGAAAGGAGGTTGTCTCCTGTCCAGCGTTCGCTCTGCTGAAGTGGAAAGAGGTGGGAGGAATTTCCACTTCGTTCTTGACCTGTCACCACTATAGATATGTTTATAGCTGAGTCACTGACTTATGATGCCGGCTCACTGTGAACTGACTTTAGAAATACGCTCTCAAAACTTGTTGATAAGCACATTCCTTGTAAACATGTAAAGGACAAGCCAAAACCCGATAAACCCCACATAAATTGTAAATTAAAAAAAAAAAAAAAAGTTAAACGCTCATGTTTGCATACCAAGTATAAAAAGAATCCATCTGAAAACCTTGAGAGGCATCTTAAAGATGCCCTGCAAGGACTTTTTTTACTGGTTTTTAATTTGCACTGAACGTAGTACCTTTATGAAACTTTTCTCGAATTTCGCTTTATTTTAGAAGTTACAGGCAAATTAGAATTACAAAATCAAGCAAAAAATAACCTCCTTCATGACGTCCTTGGTCACTTGAGTGGCCGTGAACTAGAGGAGGGGTAGCGAGCTCGGTGAGCGCTCACCGCTGCCGCACTCCATGTCGACGGCCCGAGAGGGCGCCACTAACGCATGTTCTGGATAGGCTGAATGAAGAGGGCAGCCAGGGCGGCTCGGATTACATTTGATGCGCGATTAAACACTAATTCGTCATGACACTTCATTGGCCACAAGCGACAGCAAATATGGGGTAAAGATCAGTTCAGAATGACTTGGCTATAAACATATCTATAGTCGGTGACAGGTCAAGAACGAAGTGAAACCTTTTCCCACCCCTTTCCACTTCAGCGGGGCAAACGGTGGAGAGGAGCTCACCTCCTCTCCAGCGTTCGCTCCGCTAAAGTGGAAAGAGGTGGGAGGTGCTTCCACTTCTTTCTTGACCTGTCACCGACTGTAGTTGGCCACTCAGTTTCGGTTCAATTGAGCAGCTTCAGCTCATGCTATCACGCCATGACCGAATGCGCTGCTTGCGTCTTCAATTATCCGACTTCCCACGGATGTACAATACTTTAAGCACTCTCAAGCAATGTAGAATGAAGATCAGGGCACTTGTTTTGGTTCTTGACATGCCGAATATTGTGCATGCATGCACATGTAAACGCAGTAGCACGTGGCTTAGTCACCTCCCCCCCACGAGTTCATCTTTGAGCTAAATTTTAATAATCCTGTCTAGCACCGGTGAACCACAATTTAAATTTAGTCACTTTGAGTTTTACACATATTTTGTTTGCCAGGCGTCCGCTTCTTGCTACTTCATTGATCGAAAAACCAGCCGCATCCTCAGGATACTCACAGTTGAGCCCAACGTTGGCACATAAACTTTTTAAGAAACGCAATAAATTCGCCCTCGCAAGGAACAAAAGTTACTATGGAGTCTTCCTCGTGTCATCATATATCTCGCACTCAAATTTCATGCTGATTGGAGATTAAGTTTTCGCAAATGCCGAGATGGGCTAGCTATGACAGAGCCCAAGATCTGTGTCTGAACAGTGAATCCGAAATTATCCCGGCATACTAAATTGGGAAGAAAGCAAACGCATAACAAATCTTATGTCCACTAGCAACCGTTGAACGGTGCGACATTCTTCACGTAAGTGCTGGACTGTTGCTTTCTTAAAAACTGTTTGTATGTAAGAGCGCGCCTATATGATTGCAGGATAACTTCGGTGCTGCGGGTCAGCAGTACAGCTATAAGAGATAAGAAGTGTGTTCAGTTTTTCAATGGCATCTCCAAGTTTTACCTCGCATACTCGGGCGTAATGAGAAAAAAAAAGCGTTATTGTAAGAAGGTAATTCCGTCAATGGATGTACGCCAGTAACAAACGTGCTGACCAGCAACACTAATATGTAAAGGTGCGAGCTCGGTGTACGCACACTAATTGGTTGTTACAGCATGTTGAATCATACACAAACAAGACCCCCGAGGTTCACAGCGTCAAGATTCCCAGCACTGGCTCGTCCACATACCTTGAAACGCTAACAGGAAGGCTCGAGTACAAAAATACAACAAGCATGTGTCAAGACAAACTTTACGTAGCGGTTCGGGCTCGTGGTGAAGCTTCGAGGTCTGGCCATTTAGGTTAGTTTAGAGACCAAAAACTATGTGCTCGGGACAAGGAAACATAAGGTAACGGCTGTTTATAGTCCACGCTCTGTGCATGATCTCTTGCCAACGTGTTGATCGAAACCGAAACCATGCCACTCCTTCCTGGCCAACTAGTTCTCAGAGTGCAACGCACGCAGTGTTGCATGCAGGGATTTATGGAAGTGTAATACATGTGCATAGGCTCGAAGAAAAAGGTAAAGGCCTCAAAACTCCACTGTGCTACAAAACGTGTCGTGCTGCTATTTATGTGGCTCGAATAAGAGCCAAGCTTTGCAGAGCTTGATAACCTATTTGTGTGGCTTGCTATCTTGAAGGCTTGGTAGATAGGAGCAAGCTTAATAGGGGAGATAAAGCGATAACCATGGGCTGGTTACAGTGCTTCTCAAGGTAGGTTTTGATGTAGGTAGTTGCACTGTACAACCTGCTCATGGTAAACAACCAGTCTCGCAGAAAGCTCTGGACTACACCAGGTGGTCCAGAGTGGTCAGTCCAGCTGACTGGAGCCCACTCTTGCATGACCTGATCAAAATACTTGAAATCTATCACTGAAATTGACTAGTAAATGCATTAACAGTGGACACAGTAGTCACATTTTCCTCTAAACGGACCACTTCACTGTTGCAAAAAGCCTTATAGATAATTGGACTTGTTAAAATTATTTTGTCCCGAGCAGTCCTAGTGTCCTGTCATCTGATTGTCCCAAATAGGCAGTTACTTCTTTGGGTGGGCTTGCCAGTTGAGTTGTCCTTGCATAATAATACATAGTCTCGCTGCACAAAAATAACGACTGGCAAAAACAAGATGGATGAACACTTTTCACATACCCAAATCCCGAGCGCCCCCCAAATTTTCTAGATTGGGTAGTGCAGCTAAAAGTTGTAAAATTATTCTCATTCATAAAAAAAAAAAAAAAAAAAAATGTTCCATGCCTTATTGCTTATGCACTCCCTCACTCCTCTCGTACTAAAGAGCCAGGAGTACACAAACAAAGCCGAGAGAGTCCAAGCAACACGTTTGTAACTATACTCCAGAGGTTCTCAAACTGGGTTCCGGGGAACACAGGGGTTCCACACGAGCTGGTCTCATGGGTTTTGCGAACACCCCAATTTCAACCTCCCCCCCCCCCCTTCCCCCGCCGCAGGCTGCGTGGCAGGACCATGCAAAGCGCCTTCATCTCACTTTGTACTGACATCGCGATTGATATGGTGGGGATATATGGGAAGCAACACAAGCAAAATTGCCTACAATTGTGCATCTGTTGCCTCTCAGTCGGCAAATATAGAGGGGGGTTCCGCAGCAGGTTTTGAGGCTTCCTGGGGTTTCATGACACCAAAAAGTTTGAGAACCCCTGCTACACTCTATTGCACATTATGACAAACCATAGAGATTGCTACGAGGCATCGAAGCCAATCCAGCATCGGGTGACCTTTGGGAGGGACATCGATGCGTCGGGTGCATGTACTAGTCACGTGACACGTTCGCAGCGCTGGGATGTCTCGTAGCATTCGCTGCGGCCCATCGTAAGGTGAAACGAAGTACAAGAAAGGGACAACTACGATGTCGGGGGCACAAATGGAACAAAAGGAACACCTTTCATTTTGGGCACATCGGCTGTTCCAGAGTGCAGATTCCTCACCTGGCAGGAGTTGTAGTGCTCGTAAAGCGAGAGCAGGCCAATGTTTGAGACCGAGGTGATGCCCCTGAGCACAGTCTTCTCCTCTTTTCCGAGGGACACTTCATCGTTGAAGACGTTGGTTACGGCCCGGCCAACAAGCAGCAGGTTCACCACCTCCTGCAATGGAGCAAGCAGTCTGCTTCAACACATGCTGTCAACGGAGATTTGAACTACAGTGAAACCCGTTTAGAACAAACCAACATACAGCGAATTATTGTCGATATCGAACTCGCGGAAAATTGAAATAAAAATGCATGTAAAAATTACTTTTTATAACAAGCAATATATATTGGCTATATCAAACTTTTTCCCCCCGGGAAGGCTTCCAAAAACGCGCAAACAATCGTCTTCTAGCCTGTGTGTCAAGAAAATAACAAATAGAAGAAAATGAAAAATGGACACACAGAAAAAAAAAGAAGACATTTTTGTTTTGCTTTTTTTATATTTGACCCCGCTAAAGCAAAACGTTGAGGTTTTTTTTCTTCTTCTTTTGTGTCGTCAGTCCGGCACTTATTGCTCTCGCGAACATTCATAAGCAGAGAACAGTACAGGAAACGAACGCTGAGTGCCTTTCTGAACGCAACCTATTTCAAGAAGGTGCGACCACTGCCTCGGCTATTATATGGGTTCTCTTTGTTATCCATTCACTCGTGTCCGTATCCAGAGTTTGTTTATAGTGAACTCCCCATATAGGGAATATGGATTGTATTTAAACAATGCGTCTAAGGTGCGCCGTACGACGTGATATTCAGCGATGTCACTATTGGCAATGCGCTCTGACCCGTTTGTCACCCCCCCACCTCGGCGTTTACCCAACACAAGGCCTGTGCACATGCCCACAGGCCTTGTGGGCATGTTTATGTCATCTTTTTTTAATAGAGCGCCGGGCACAGTGTAATGAAAAAATACCAACAATTAGTGAAGTGACGTTAAGTGCCGGATCTCTCCCAAAAGCAGTCGTCGGAGGATGCGAGCTTGACCCACTTGGGCTTTTGTGCTGAGCTGAATACCGCGCATGCTGCATTGTTCATGCAGGCCAGAGTGGTAACAAGAGTCCCTCCTCCCCCCTCACCGAAGAACACAAACTCCAGCCGAACGCCGACTTCGCGTTCGGTTAAAACAGCCGAGCGCTGAGCCATTGCATTTGTTGTCCCTATCCATCTAGTTTTAAAGTTAACCGCTTGGGGCGCCACGGTTTGATCTCCTCCCCAGTAGCTAAAGCGACCTCTTGTCTTCCCAGAAATGTTTTGTAACATCTATCAGCGATATTGCCATGCGCATTACTAAGCGAGCACGTGGCCAAATGGTTACCGTGCGTGGCTCTCGCGCGGTGGCTCCAGGTTCGCTACCAGGGAGCGGACTCCTCTTTTATTTATTCTTTCAACTTGATATTCTCGTAAGTTCGAGAACCTTGTCGTCTGATCGAGCTCCGAATGTTCTACGCGCCAAACTTTCTACGCCGAATGTTCCAGAAACACAAGCGGGTACAAAAGGTGCTCCGAGTGGCGGCCTGGAGTCAGTCTTGCCCCAGCGCTCGATCCTGCTGTTTCGCCGACTTCGACCCCTGCGACTCTAGCCTTTCTCTATTTTGTTTCAGGCACAAGTTCGCCCCCTTAGACTTTTAGTTTCTTCAGTTATTTGCCGCCTCATTATTTGCCATTCGTGACAATATTATGCTGCTTATAGCTGGACTGCATAAAAAAGCCCTGCAATATTTTTTTTTTCCCGTTTTGTGTTGTTGCGTGCTAATAAACCATTCTGGTAATCCAGATTTGAGCAGCTGTATAATTGTCGTTGTCACTGACGTCGATACAAAGTACGCAATGTGGAGGTATCTTCAAAAGTAATTGAATTACATTTCCAATTATTTGTATTCTACTTAAGATACTTTACAGTGAAAGTAACTTGAGTAGTATTTTAAATACTTTAGGAAGCAGGTATTTAGTAACTTAAATACTTTTATCGAGTATTTTGTCCAACACTGCTTAGAACCCTGCAAATGCACACAAGGCATTTTTTTAGGGTTTACAAATTTATTTTAGACAAGCCGTAAAAGCCACACAAATGATGTCTATGCAGGGCCCCTAATCTGGACACTTTGCGAGAAAGACGGCGAGAAATCTAGCGGCTATGATTGACTGGTGCCAAGGTCAAGTGCGGCGTTGACCAATCACAGCCACCAGATTTCTCGCCGACTTTTTCGCCAAGTATCCAGATTAAGGCTGCAGGTGAGTTATACGAATGGACATAATATACCGTAAAATACCCCGAAAACGCCCACTTCATTCAAGTGCCCACTAACAAAAGGGGTCATGAAACGATATCGGGTTGGAATGTTCATGACTTTGCAGAGGCATACTGGTCCTAGTCTGGCCCAACTATACTCGCACAGGCCGCCACCGCTTCAGAAGCTTCTTTGTCGTGGTGAAATTGCGGGGATGAGAGGGGACTATTTCTTTCAGTCTTGCCTTCGCAAAGCTTGATGACGTAATTGTGGGATCGAAACCACCCCCTTGTCGACAGTTGAGTGCGGATCATGGATTGGACACTCGGATAGTGGCTCGTGTCCGACCACTGCAGTGATGAGAATAGCCAAACTCTGACAATGCCTGGAGCTCAGCACAGATTTTCTACTTTGGCGACACTAGCGCGTGGCTATGATTAACACTGGTGGCACAGGATAGGCACCTGGCCAAATGGCCGCTGGTTCTGGCTCCGAGTTGAATGGATGAACGAAGCTCACATTTCTTTAATTTTTTTGCCAACTGCCATTGCCTGGAAAGAAAAACTAAGAAAATTTTATTCATGTCTAGATTAACTTAGTTTTCAGTGAAAGTGGGGTGAGTGCTGCCCCGGTATTTTACAGTAGGTGGCTAATAATCGTAACAAGTAAGATAATTAACTAAAATGTCTTAATTAACTTTTTAGTTGGTTCCAATTAGAAAGTTGCTAAGCATGAGCAAAAAACAGTAAATCATCAAACTTTAGAAATATCTGAAGCGCGTGGGAAGCACTACTGCAAGCTGAAGCTACCACTCGCGTAACGGGCGCAAAGCTGGCGGTGCAAAAACACGGATGATATAAGACGGTTAATTCTCAAAGTACATTTTCGCACCTGCATGCTTGCACCTGTTGCACAAGTAATGACCTTAGTGCTCCACCGCACTTCCTACGTACTAAAGTTCTAAAATAGACTCATTTATAGTAGTTTTTGATGACTATCCAGAAGTTTGAAATTGGAACAATGTTTATCTTCAGTAATTAAAAAAACATCATTAACAACTTTTATTTAATTAACCGACTTATGCTGATTAGCCCCCTATACTATGTCTCGCTGGCCTTATAAATTACCTGCACAGACTGCACTTGTGTAACTTCAACGGCTTTAAATAATTAAAAAAAAAAGAAAGCCGTTTACAACTCCCTCTAACGCCGAATTAGAGCGCAGCTCTTGAGGAGGAGGAGGGAAGGGTACTGGGGGGTGGGTAAGTGACCTCGGGGGGCGGGGGAGTCACGTGACCTTGTGGGAGTCATGTGACCTTGTGGGAGTCACGTGACCTTGGGGTGTCACGTGACATCAAGGGGGGGTCACGTGACGATGCCGATGACGTCATCAGTGACGTCACTGATGACGCCATCAGTGATGATGATGATGACGATGCGGATGCCGGTGACGTCACTGATGACGTCATCAGTGACGATGACGATGACGATGCGGATGCCGGTGACGCCATCAGTGACGTCGCTGATGACGTCAACGGGGGGTCACGTGACCTGGGTAACCATCGTGACCCTCGTGAGGGTAACCCTAGTAACCCTCGTGAGGGCAACTCTCGTTACCCTCGTGAGGGTAACTCTCGTGACCCTCGTGAAGGTAACCCTTTTGAGGGTAACTAACCCTCGTAACCCTCGTGAGGGTTACGAGGGTAAGTAACCCTCGTGAGGGTAACCCTCGTGAAGGTAACCCTTTTGAGGGTAACTAACCCTCGTAACCCTCGTGAGGGTTACGAGGGTAAGTAACCCTCGTGATCCTCGTGAGGGTAACCCTCATGAGATTAACCCTCGTAACCCTCACGAGGGTTACGAGGGTTGCGGTTACGCCGACGGCGACGGCGACGCCGCTCTAGCCGGGAACGGGCGCCTAAGAGCTGCGCTCTAAAAACACACACACGCACACGAAAAAAATTTGAAATTAAAGGGGCACTAAAGAGGATACTGTGATTGTCTCTTCTTGGTCATAACTAATTCTACTGGCCCTAAACATCCTAAAAATTCAAGAATTGCAATCGTGCAACGCCGATCTCCTTATTAAAAACATGATGAAAGGTTGGGACACACCCCTTGTAAGCAGATGTTTAAGCTCAGGAAAGGCGGGGCATACCCCAGCAGCGGTGCCAGCGCGGGGATGATGGGCACTTGTCGGCCAATCACCAGCTGCCTCTCTCGGAGAGGTGGCTTGAGAGGAAAAATCCGCTCACAAAGGTACAAAGGGGTCTGTCCCGACCTTTCATCACGTTTTTAATAAGAAATCGGCGTTGCGCGATCGTAATTTTTCTATTTTTAAGATGCTTAGGGCCCGTTGAAACAGTTATGACTAAGAACAGATGATTGCAGAATCCTCTTTAGTGCCCCTTTAAAGTATAACTGGGGGTTCTTTAAATTTAGGTCACGCATTTGTTTTGGCAACTCCCACTACTTCTGAAGCTTCAACAATGTGCAGCCCAAAAGGCCGACTGCACACGCATATACATGATAGTACTATCTCTGCGAGCAATGTCCTCGGCCACGTATACCTCGAGTTTCAGATCCTTTAGAACACCTTCCACTTGATATGCAGTGAGCCCAAGGTAAAAGATAGTGCATATACTGTTTAGAGATTCATGCTTTTTTATACCAATAAACTCCAAAAAGTAACAAACACCCAAGCCGGCTGTTATTAAAATCGAGGAAAAAAGGACAAAGAATTGAAAAAGCTGGTCTTGAACAAGCAGGATCTAAGCTTCACAAAAGGAAATCTTTATTGACAACTCTATTTTGTGCTGAGCCAGCATGCACAGCAATGTGCACGGGGCTGATTTCTTTCTTTGGGAACCACACCTGTCGTCGCGTTTCCTTCTCTTATTGGTCCTCGAGTGTTTTTGAAGTGTCTGAATAATGTCTGTGTCCCCCTGGAGGCTGAGGAATCCTATGCCTGTGTCCTGGTTTCTTCAACAAAAGTCCACTTTGATAATTTTTTTATTCGATACCAAAAAGAGACATAGAATCTGCAAAAAAAAATGAAACCCCGCAAAAACGTTCCCGAATACGAAGAAAAATGAAACTCTGGACCCTAATTATGTTCTGCGGATGGGCCTTTGAAGGTCCACAAACCTTTAGCACTTCCAGGGTCAGTTGCTTGAGTAAACGTCCAATAAGGTGAAAACAAAAAAAGTGTGCGACGAGGACAAAGTAAAAGGAAACCGACAAACACAGCGCTGTGTCCTGTATGTTTCCTTTTACTTTGTCCTCGTTTTCGAGCCATTTTTGTTTTTATTATGTCCGAATACCCACTTGCCCGAACTTCAACATTAAACAAATACAATACGAAAGCAGGCTCGTCCTAGGCCACAGCCGCTCTTTGCCTTCGTTTATTTTCTTTCCTAATTCGCTAGTACCGCCTTTAGCAATGGGGTGATTTGCCTATGCCTGCCCAGTACCCTCCTTGAGCATGAGTAGAGCGAATAACGGCAGAGCGGTGTACTTTTATGGATTTGGGAATAGATCGAAGAAAGGTTAATTGCTGGACAGTTTTCTGTTTGCTATGAGGCAGATTCGAGGGAGACGTTTAGAGCATATACCTGATTGCAGTGACTATGCTTTCCGATGAGACAGCTGTTTTGTTCGTCCATTTCACCTCTTATCCTGTAAATTCAATGAAGGGTTAGTGTCCTCTCACTAACATAACGAGCCACAAATTAATCACTTACCTCTCAAACCCGTGGGTGATCACAACAGATATCAGAAAAGAAACGCAGCTCGAGCAATTCTCCTCCTGAAGCTGTGGACAAAAAATTTCCATGTCGTCACCGTATCACACACAAACGGCAAGTTGTACACCAATACTTTGCCACCATTCTCCCAAGTAATCTCATGTTAGCACAGACTTACTTTGAAGACGCACGAACTGTAAAAATCTTGAAGAGCCGTCTTCGACGTAAATGTAGACACGGTTAACTGCAAAGGCAAAATAAAAAACGAATGCATTCGGAGATTATAAAATTTTTCAGTTTTGACCGGAAGCTCGATCTCGTACGTACGGTTTCGGTGATTCCATCGGCCGTCAGTGGCCCCGCTACACTTAGTACCCTCACACCAGACGGGCTGCAAGAATGGTGTGGGCATGTCATATCTCTCGGACCGCATTGTCCTGCAGAAAACTGGCTCGAAAATGAAAGAATATGCCTCACTTGACCACCACAGCCTTCTCGAAGTCTCCAGCTTGCCACAAAATATATGCCAGAGCCCTCGCAAGCGCAGCGTTCCTTCTGGGGACGTCCACCTCAAAGCTGCTGTAACAGAAAAGTGTTTTCCTATGGATATCCCCTAGCAAGTTTCTTAGAGGGCTATAGAGTTAGAACGAGAGAGCACAACGGTTTCATGACCAGTTTTAAGCTTATTCGGCAGTATAAAGAGCAGTAACCAGGAAGGTTGCTACCATGCAATGTGCGGAGCTCTTACTTATTATCCTTGTGTTCGCTCGTGCCCGGCCACAGAAGTTCTTTCAACATGTATGCTTGCACCGCTGCCAGAACTCCACACGGTCCTCCCTGTCACCGAGCAGAATCAGCTGTGAGAATTTTTTACACTGACTTTTACTTACAAACAAGCTCAGTCATTAGTAGTTTAAGATAATTCTAGGCATTTATTTGTCTTTTTAGTCACGCACGAATAGTAGATTTCGAGTTTGATGCGAATAGTTGTTTTGGCCGAACATTTTCTAATCTAGTATCAAATAGATTTTCTATAAAGCTTTCGCTACTGCACCGAGCTTAAACGAAAATCCAGCTGAATTCAAGAAGGTTGTTCCGAAGCTTTCACTTGTCGATTTCTATGCTAAATGAATTTTAATTTAACTATCTTTATTGACTGTGGCCTCGGAAAGTTCAATGTATACACTGGGTTGGTAAGTAAATGATGCATATGACATGAAATTACACCTCAAGTCAGAAATGTAGGGTCATGAGTGCAGGTTGTAGGGGTATCTGTGCCTAACATATACTCGCGCATAATAGTCAGCTGAATTTTGAAAATTTTGCTGCAATGTAAATATTGACATTCACAAAGTTCCTTTTTTAAATACACCAAATACGTGCGTGCACTATCCTAGCTTTAAAGTGTGCTTTCCTCCTAAGCATGCGGCTGCAATATTTGTACCTTTCAAAGTGCTGATCTCTACATTTTAGCCCCATTGAGTGTGTTTCTTACCGAGCACCAATGCATTGGTGGAAGCAATACCCGCGGAAGCGAGCTTTGTGGGTGTTGCTTCTCTGCAGTGCACCGGTGCTCGGTAAGAAACATGCCCAATGGGGCTCACCTGCTGCAATCAATACTTTGAAAATTATGAATATTGCAGTTCCAATCTAAGCGAATATCGAATAGCGCATTATTGGAAACTACTACTCGAATATTCGCATGATACGCTATTGCCTTTTTATCTTAGCTGTAATGCAAATGGAAGGCACAGCTGAGTAACCAAAAACATTTGCTTGCCTTTTTCTGCAGAAGGCCATATGGAACAGCATTTGACTTTGTGAAAGTGAAACCCTGTGAGGCCCATTCTTCACCAAATTTCCCATCTGGTGACCCGAAGAGGAGCTGCTTCAGTTCCTGAGGGGTGCATGCAATTTTAGATGGCACATATCAGCACACATGACAGCTTCTTTTATTACGATGACTACAAACATACATCCAATAGTATGATAATACAATTATTGCAAAGGTGCAAGCCACCTGGACAAGAATAACGATAATAATCCAGGGATTTTTATCAGCATTCTTGTTCAGCTCGCTTGCACCTTTGCAATAATTGTATTATCATCATAACCTTAAAAATGGAGGTTGTTTACCCTTGGTGGTGTAAGGCAGGTGACAGCTGATAAACCCCGTTTGCTCTACTGACGTCTAACTCCTCGTTACCTCAGTTGGTAGATCGTTTTACTGGAAATTGAGAGGTCCTTGGTTCGATACCAGGACCAGGCAGATTTTTTTCGGTCGCTCAACAGTCACCTAGCTGTGTTTGGGGATTTGTGTTTGTCCTTTGTCCCCCTTGTTCTCTTTCTCCAGGGATTATTATCGTCATCCAATAGTAGTTATTTGCACTAAAAGTTACCCAGCCATTTTATGTACTGGCATAATTTATGGCTTGCATGTGTTTATGCACATACTAGGTCAAAGGAGTGTGAAGTAGCTTTTGCAAACAAAGTCAAGAATGGCGTGTTTGTGTACTTTAAATGTGCACTAGCAGCTTTTAGGTATATAATACATTTAGTTTAATGGACTTCATTCAAGCAATAACAATGACACAACCTATAAACCTTAAAAGGGCACTAAGCTGATTTTTAGACTGTCTTCTTACGATGCAAGCTCGATTTACGTGCCCCATAAGCATCTTGGAAAACCTTAAATTATCAACATGTGTGGCCCTTTTGCCTATCAAAAATGCGACAAAACGTGTTATTCCCTTTTCTGAGATGTAACTCAGAAAAAAGGGCATGTTGCCATGTTTGCTTGCACTTTTAATAGGAAAAACAAGCCATGCATGAGTGTTATTATAGGTTTTCTGGGATGCTCAAAGCACATATTTAAGGTGGAGCCATAAAAAGACGATTTCAAAATCCACTTTAGTACCACCCCCTTTAAGCACAACCTATAAACCTTACATTAATCTGTTTCAACTTGGGGTTTATAGACCAACGCAAAGCGCTGACGTCGCACTGCTGTAGTGGCACTGCTGTTGGCGCAGCGCACGCACAAAAGCTTCACTCTATGCAAATTTGGTTTCTGCGCCCGTAGGGTGCACCCACCTTAAGCGGGCAAATGTGGGCTTGTCTGTACACAGTGCATAGACCAATGAAAATATTTTCTCCTCATCTTCAAAAAAGAGAAGGCAAATTGGAACTTACAGTCGCTTCCTCGACGGTGATTGGCCGGAAGTTGACCAGCTTGTGGGAAACAACGAAACGGTCTATGCAGGTCTCCTGATCGGTGACATCGCTGATCTCAATGTCGTCTGTCCCTGCTTTGAACCTCAGCGCTGCAGACTCCACTTCACCGTGACCAGGGCCTTCTTCGGAGCAGGGTTCGGGTCCGGCAGTTCTCAGTATCCTCCGATTGGAATCTAACCGAGGAGCACTCTGACTTCTCAAGAGAAAAGTCTTCCTCGACAACGTTGGCGAGCCTTTAACCTGAAACAGTGTTTCGTCCAAAGTCAAGTGCCTCATAAAGAAATCTGCAATTGCAGTGATGTGATTGGCCTAAGCCATTTTAAAGCAGCTTTCGGAGCAGCCAAAACAATGTTTTGGAGCAGCAAAAGTGGCCTATGGAGCAGCCAAAAAAGTGTTTTGAAGCAGAAAAAGTGGCTTTTGGGGCAGCTAAAATAGTGTTTCGGAGCAGCAAAAGTAGCTTCTGGAACAAATATTCTTAGAAAAATTTAAATGTTTGTTTAAAGTGCTGGACAAACGAAGGACACTTTGCTTGCCACAATAAACAAATTATAGTCGTTAGACCACCTGGCAATCTTTCAACATGTAACTGAAATGCTAATGACATGACACATTTTGCAATGCTTCAGTTAAATAATGCATATACATGTACCCGCTATAGGTGAATAAGAAGCAAGCTGCACATATTCAAATTTATTTGAAAAGGACCAGTTAAGTAGTAAATACGACAGCATTAGGTTGACTAGTTCTATAATAAATGGAAGCTGTCTCCAACTGATGAAACACGTAACTATTGCAGTACAACGCAAAATTGTCGCTCGAGCGGAGATGGCTGTTCGATCTAAACCATGCACTCCGCTCCGTCGCCAACTGGTTCTCAAAATTGCATGCACAATGTAACTGTCCAGCATACAACAAAAAACAGTCCAGCAGCACGTGCTTGCCAGGCTGGCAGGTTCAAGTGGAAGGTACAGGTTAAACACACAGAAAAAAAAAAAAAAAAACCTGAGCACATTGATGCCAGACATCGCGAGCCAGGGTCAAAAAGTTCTCGGAGTGCTTTGTGCAACGACTGAACTCGAGACAAACATGTGCGGGTTCAGCGTGCAGACATCGCCTTCTTTGCTTTAGCTCACTTCTCTTCACCAACTTTCTTTCGGGGCAGATTTTTCCGTACCAGGGTCCCTCTTGAACTAAAGCCTACCAAGAGAAACCTAGGCAATCAATTCTTCGACACAGCAGTCTTTGAGCCAGAGGTATTTTTGTAGTAGCGCATTAAACAAGAACAGGAATGTTGATAAACATGAGGCGGTCTTTACGTTTCAGTTTAAGAAGCGCCGCACAAAAACATGGTTTCGTTTCACAGCATGACGGCATGGCTGGTACCCAGCACGCTAGCATCGGAGCGTCCGCACACGCCCGCGTCTATCGCCGATTTTTTTTTTTTTAAAGACACGAGACAAGCGAGAGTGCGAAACGAGAGACGGCGGGAAAAACCATGCAAGACCGGATGAACGATTGATGCAGGGTGCTTTGTGTTGGGCGGCCGCTTGCGCCACCTAGTTTTCGCATGCTCAATTACAGTACTCAGTCAGGTTTCGGTTTTGACAGGCGACCAAAATTGGTCCTTTGGTGCAGGCTTGGCACAGATTACCCATATCTTGGAAAAATGTAGCAGGATGTAGCAGGATGTAGCAGGGTTAGCCCCTTGGTGCAGTTCGGCGCAATTGGCGCAGCAATCACATCACTGCAACTGTTCCTCTTTCGCATTACTTGTAGAGTGCCCCGCCCGGATTCACCGTAACTAGAATAGTACTTGAATAAAATGTGAATCAGAGTGAGAGCAACTGCAGCAGAAACTTCATTGTTCTACAGTCTGATGGCCAAAGAATGAGTTAAAATGAAACGTAGCTACCACAACTAGCATCGCAATATATGGAGTTGACTATAGTTCAATTATAGTGGGGTGCAAGCAACGCCAGTTGCTGGGCTGGTCGTTCCTGTAATAAAAACCAAAGGGAGGTAGGTCTCTAGCACTGTCAAGTATGAAACATAGCCCACCACTGTTTTCTGTCCAACTTTTTCTTTGTGAAAAAACTGAAAGCTAGACCACCCCTAGAAATTATGTGACCCGTGTTCAAGCGATTTCTGCAGCAGGGTAGGCAATACGAGTTTTGACAACAATAGCAACAGTTCTTCTGGCGATTTTAAAGGCAAATGAATAAACAAAGTCTCAAGGGACATGATACTCATGATGTTGTATAGGAGGGCTGATGTAAACACAATTGTACCAGAAGCCAAGGCAACTATGTTCCCGTTCTTCGGGGGGGGGGGTTGTCATACATACAACCAGCCTACCCCCCTTTTACACCCTATCTGGCCCTCGTCGGATGTGGGGCATCTTTCAAAATATCACGCTAGTTTAAAATGTCTTGCATCAACTCATAGGTGACTCAACCTGTCTTTATCCTGCAAAACCCCCCCCCATGAACAGTCACACGACCGTAACGCTATAACCAGGATTCCGTGTTTCCGAGATAAAATTGCAAAAACACTCGGCGGTAACTTTTTTGTCAATTTGGATTTATAAACAAAAACCTCTAAATTTCAAAATTGCAAAAAACAAAAAAATGGTAATTTGATATTCTAAAAATAAGTTTGGTCAGAGCACATGCTCAGTGGTCCTGAAAAGAGGGCTCTCTGGCTTCTTTTGAAATCTCGTATTGACAAAAGGGGGTTCAGCGTATGTCTGACCAAGTTTTGCTCAGGACATTCAATCACTGCAATTTGGTATCACGATAAAAGGCCATTGTTCTAGTTCTTAGTTTGGACATTTTAGAGGAAGGCGGGGTTGTGTTTTTATAACTGTGAAAGCTATGACCACTCGAGGGAGGGTGGCAGCTAAAGGTTCCATCTCGCCACTCCTCCCTGTGCAGCTGCATGGCTGGAGCGGTGGAATGGGATGAAAATGAGGTTTCTAGAAACGACGTCAAGGATATCAGTGCTTTGAAGTCTTAACATTTATTAAAGCAACACTTGTCTGCAAGATCTGTTGTGGTACAGTTAGTATTATTCCAATGGCAAGGACATAAATGTCCAATCCAGCCGAAGGAACATTATTCGATACAGGTCGGTCCTTACGAATCTAGGGCAGGCTTGCATCCAGATAAATTTGTTTCTATATTTAATTTTGAAAAAAAGGAACACAGCAAAGTTAAACTCAGAAAGTTGGAGAATGGGAAATCTATTGTAAATAAACTTCGACAAAACTTTGAATTTCCGGCAAGAAATAAACTCCGAAAACCGCCATCCGAATTTCACGAGAACTAAACTCCGAAAATTCGGGACCCTAGCTATAACCAACAAAACTAGTTGACCCAGTTAGACTGGGCCATCGAACACACATGGGGTATTCACAACCGAAACGAGGCTTCAAAGAGTACCTGACTGCCGCGCAGCTTCTCTCCCAACGGATCGTCCTCCGAACCCGTCCAAGGCTCCTGCTTCAGACTGGGAAACGCCGCGACTCGGGGCACATGCAGCGGAGGAGGTTTGCCAGCAGAGACGCTGTCAGGCCTGAGGGCAGTCCTTCCACGTTCGCCGTTCCTCGCCGACAGGCTGTTGTGCAGAGAGGACCTGGCCAGGAGCTGCGGCCCTCCCGGCATGACGACGGAGCTGGCATACTTCCCAAGCATCTTGTCCACATCCAACTTGTCTCCCTCGCCATCGTGGAACCGGTCACCCTTGATATAAAGTGACCAGACATCCCGAGTTAGGCAGGACTAAAGAATAGGAAAGTAGTATCAAGGTCCCTTACGGTCACCAGCTAGTGTCCATGGAATGAGCAGTTACTCTTGTTTTCTCCAGTCCTCCATTCAATTCAATTAATTTATTATCAGCAAGGTGCCCATACATGATACTGATCCAAAATCACAGAGACAGACTGCTTCATAAAGACATTTCTTCTTACCCAAGATTTGGTTAAAATTGAAATTGATTATGTTACCCACACCATTGTCATTTTGTAATTATCTCTTACCACACAAATTAAGTCGCAAACTTGTGTCCATTGGTTTCGAATCTCGGTGGTATGCACAGCTTCGTACCGCCACTACATGCAGCGTCGGCGCTTGGCAACATTGAAAAATAATTTTCCTGTCATGAAATTCTCATGAAAGACAATATCATTTTAGGAGATCAGTGGAGATTACCCAGACAGATAAGTTGATTGCATATACAGTGTCAAAGACACTGATATTAACGAACGCATTTAGTACAAAGACACGTCATCGGGATCTTGGTGCGGCTGGTTCAAAATGACCCCCACAAAGCTTCGATCTATTCAAGAGGCCAAAATGGTGATTGCCATGGCAATGGAGACTGCTCAACCGATCCCTTTGCAAGGTTTTGGCTGTCTCTATGTTAGCATTTGTCTGTATCCCGCTAGCAGGCACAGAAGGCAATGACACTACACTCCCAGGATCTAGCGACTTTAGGCGGGACACGTCCCACTTTTGCGTCTGTTCCCCGCTGCCCCACCAGCCTGCGTCTGGTACGACGTTTTGTTCTGCTTCGGTGCCCCAGGACCCCGAATAGGCGAAAGATGCGGTAATATGGAAAGACAGACCAGTAGAGAGGATGTTTCTTTTCTGATTGATGAACAAGATGTGCACTACGGAGAAGACGCAGTTGTAAGGGACTACACTTGAAGCGTGACATGTAAACAGTACTATGGGTGCACCTCCAAAAATAAAAGAGTACTATAGTCACTGCAGAATGAGAATGACAAGGTGTCTCTTTTAAATACCCTGCTTCCAGCATGCACTCGTTGCCTTCCTTTATGCTTCGGCTGCGCATGCACATTCGAGGCTCGCGAGATGCCAAAGTGTTATCGAAGGTACGAGGCTCGCGATTGGAGGCAGGATGACTGAAAATCCTCCTTACCGTTCTCACCTTGTTAGTGACAGTAATGAAATATTCTAGCCAAGAGTATTAGATGTGTACAGAGGATAGTATGCGCAGCGAGGAAAAGAAAAACGCCAAGCGGCGCACCCGAAATAATAAAAAAAGTGTGCCTATTTTTTAAACCTCTTAAGACTGGGTGGAGAATGAGAAGAATCCAAAGTGGAGGCCTTTGGATTCTTCTTATTCTCCGCCTTGTCTCGGGAGGTTTTAAGAAGACGATGAATCTAAACCAGCTCACCTGCGCCATCGTCATTTTATCAACAAAAAAAAGTGTGACTTGTTAAAAAAAAAAAAAAATGTTGAGTGTCGAACACCTCTTATGTCCCAACAAGCGTACTGCCCTGGGGTGCGAGAAAAATGGTCTCTTTACCTTGAGGGCCTCCTCCATCCGCTGCATGGCTGCACTGGCGTTGCGGTGCGGCTCGCGGTACTGCTGCGATTTGGAGATGAGCTTGTGGACAGACTCGATGTCGCTTCTGGACGGTCGGCGGATGACAAAGCCCCCTGGCTGCCGCCTCCCCCTCGCAGACTGCGGACGGTCGGTGTCGGCGGGGGTCCTGTTGGGCGGGAGCGTGGCATCCAGGGAGTCCAAGGAGCTGCTGCTCTCTGACTGGTAGACATCCCGTTTGGGTGGCAGGGACAGGTAGTTTGACGATGCGGTGTTATTGTTCACCTCTGCACGTGTGGGGCTGGTGGCCCCGTTCCGCTCTTGGGTGGCGGTCTGCGCCCGCTTGGGCTTAACGCCTTTCTTCTGCAGCCTCTCGCAGACGAGCATCTCGAGCAGTGCACGGAAGGGCGAGTCCCTTGCCTGGAAGAAAAGGAGCAGACAGGGTGCATACATTTTCCCGCAAAAGCAGTCGGGCGATAGAAGATAGATGGATAGATGCAGGAAAAATGAACAAGCCGTACATAAAACAATGTTTTTTTTCTGCACTTTCAGTAATTAGTGTTTGTTCACAAACAAAACTGGGGCTGTGTTTCTGCGGTGCTTTGCTACGAAGGATTACGTCAAAATGCAACTAAAATGTTTGTCTTCTACGAAGGCTTGCTTGTCTGTCCCTAGCCAAACGTCATTCTCTCTCCTTCGGTGTCTCTTTGGCCCGTCGAGCACATTCATACTCGGCATGTCGCTGCTTCTGTTCAGCCATAGCCTCCTATATAATGACAAAGCCTAGCAGATTGCCACAAGAAGCGGCCGCCTAAATGGAAAAGGTGGAGCGGCAGACAACAAATGAGGGGAGAGCCACATGGCTGGCGCCCCGCTGCGGCGAGACGCCGAAACACACTTCTCTCCAGCGAACAAGTGTGTTTCGGGTCCTCGCCACTGCAAAAGCTGTGCACTGGCGTTCAGGTTCCCTGAGAAATGGCCCTTTAATGCTCTGTGCTACCAGATCCTCGCGCTCCAAATCTGCCACCGGACACTCTATGGCTCCGTCATCGAACCGCCAGGTTTTGTGAGTATAGAGGAGGTTATGGTTTAGCTATCTCCTTTTCGTCTGCTCCTTCCTCTCGCCAGGTAGTGACAACTGCGGCACATCCAGTGAGCGCCCCATCCCACGCATGCGCGCGATAAGAAGAGGAGGACTGCAGGCGTGCCTCATTCTTCCGCGCATACGTTTCGATGTGACGACCAAACGTTTTCAGAGAACTACAGGGTGCGGCCGTAAAAACTTTCACATTTGGCACGCCTAGCAAAAAAATTGAATTTCAAACATACATACCTGAAATTGGGCACACGAACGTCATTTATTCCAAAGTTTTTTGCCTATTTTTTTCAAGCGTCAACTCTGGAGTAGCGAATTATTAGAAAGATAACAAAAATGGCAGACGTGCATTTCCTATGGCCTATACCCGCCCGTTCGCCGTCTGCTATCTAATTCGCGACGCCGCTCCCAGATGGCGTACTGAACGCAAAAACGCGGGAAACGCCGCACAAAAGGCTGGTGTCGGGCGAGATAATCGCGATAAAATTGATTTTACCGAAATATGAGAACGATTACGCCCTTTTACTTGAAATTTAGAAACTGACGGAAGCCCTCGTTTAATAAAAATATGTTCTAAAGCAGAGGAACGTGTGTCTTCATTTGTCGTCTGCTTATCTGTTGACGGGTCCGTTCCCGGTGAAAGCTCAACTTTGGAATCAAGAGTGCCGCTGCTGAGGCATCTTGATTGTTCCTATTTATTGCTTTTGTTGCACTGTCTTCTGCAGTTATTATCAAAATATTTTCCGCGCCGCCCTGCGATGCCGCAATACTCGGCAAGTGAGTGTGCCCAGGCAGTCAAGTGGTATGTGGAGCGGAACTCGGTGGCCACAGCACAACGAAAATTTCACACTGCATTTCATAAACGCCCGCCTTCACGTCCGACTGTTTTGAGTTGGGCGGATCGTTTTGTGAGTGGAGAAGACTGTAAAAAGAAGAATCCAGTCAGTGAACGTAAGAGCCTACTGAAAAATGAGGAGCTCATTGAAGCGGTGCTTGCTGTCTTCGAGAGCGACCCGCAATTGTCAACAAGACGAGCAGCTGTAAATAAATGATCTCGTCGCATCATGGTGTCTTCTTGCTTGCATGACGATCTGTCAGAACTTGACTTGAAACAGGTAATTTCAACAATTGTTCATATATTTGGTTCAAATCACTTTTTATCGCGATTATCTCGCCCGACACCAGCCTTTCGAGCGGGTTTCCCTAGTTTTTGCGTTCAGTGCGCCACCTGGGAGCGGCGTCGCGAACCAGATAGCAGACGGCGAACGGGCGGGTATAGGCCATAGGAAATGCACGTTTGCCATTTCTGTCATCTTTCTAATAATTCGCTACTCCAGAGTTGACGTCTGAAAAAAATAGGCAAAAAACTTTGGAATAAACGACGTTCGTGCGCCCAATTTCAGGTATGTATGTTTGAAATTCGATTTTTGCTAGGCGTGCCAAATGTGAAAGTTTTTACGGCCGCACCCTGTACATAAAAAAAAAAAAAATGCTACCGCGTTTAGAATACGAAAAGGCATCTCATACCCTTCGAACTCGGGCACTTTAATTCTAGTTTTAGAATTACTTGATCTTTCTTCTTTTTCTGAGAGTCTGCAACATGCCAAGAGAGGCTGAAGAATCAAAATAAGGCTCCTAGCAGAAATTTTCTTCCTACCTTGTTATCCCGGACTAGACGCTCCATGAAGGCCGCTCTGATTAGCTGATCTCTCGCAGAGAAGCAGCCTTCGCCCCTCGGCAATTCCTGGTCCATTTTGGACAGCGTGTTTCTGAGGCCCTGCGAAAGTTGGACAGAGCAAGTAAAACACAAAGGCGACGACCCCAGCTACGATACGTCGCACAATCTATCGCCCTGAACTACAGGCACCGTGTGTTGGAACGGCAACCATCCCGTAGCTAGGCGACGTAAACAAACAGCAGGACGGCGCTACCTTTCTGGACAGGTATTCTCGCACAATGCAGCAGGAGATGTCTTCCACGCATTTTGCTGACGTGCTGGAAGCCTCGTGCTCGGCGCGATCATCGAACATGTCTCGAAATTGTTGAATAGTGCCGCGAAGAAGCGGTTCGAACGGTCGCGACAACTTCAAACTTGCGCTGCCATATTTTGTTTACACACGTACTCGCGGCCTCTGGCGGCACAAACCGCACGAACAACGAAGGGAGTTAGTTAGTTAGTTGGCGGTACCTAACCCCTTTTGAGACAGGGGCGTCGGCAAAACTTCAGATTGCCGACACAGGTAAAAGATTTAGTTCTTGTTTTGTTTTAGCTTTTCCCACTTTTGGGACACTTTCACTAGTTGGCGACCAGTGAAATTGGCTAGGTAGCGCAAGTCTCCGCCTGATTCAAATAAGTTTGTTATATTTATTTATCCACCAATAGAAAACAAATCAGTGAATAATGCGTTGATTACAAAATTTTAGCATAATAATCCCTCAGAAAACCTAAAAGTAGTTAAAAGCCATGAATATATATTTTATTTTAAATAAGCGGTAGGTTTGTGCCCCCCACGGCGAGTCACACTCTTAGCCCGCTTCCGGTCACGTGACAGCCGCCATTTGGGGCAAAGTTTTGTGTTGCGTCCTGTACCCGCGAGTGCGTGCTGCTTCTTGGAGCATCGTTTCATCGTGAACTCGTCCCCGTCGCCAGCAGTGTCATGTGAAAGGATTACGCCACACTTTCAGTCTGAAAGGTCAGTTTTCTCTCACGATACTACCCGACGAAAGCCCCCACACAAGAAAACGAAAAAAAAAAAAAAAAAGGAACGCCAAGAACGTTTCGGTCTGTCGGAAGTTTGCGCGACGCCTGAGAGATCGATATAAAGCCCTCGCAACGCCGTTTCAACAATGACCGTAGCGCGTATGACACGCCGTTAGAACTGTCTTTATGTTCTCGTTTCAAAGGGGCCTCTTTCTCAATTGACCCCGAGCGCGCATCGAGTCCACGCCGGTCGAAGAGCTTAGCGGACGCGGCAAATTTCCCACGCTCTTGCGCATTGATGCATATAGGTAAAGACCGCTACTCCGAAACACTTGCGCCTTTTAAGAACTATCCACGCATTTCGTGATCTTAGCGTAATCATCGCACTTCTCTTGGGTTTAGAAGGCGAGTCGTTTAATTGCCAAATGCTGCACGGAGTGAGACGCCGCCGTGCCTAGTAACGCGGTAGCCATGAACGCGTTCGTTCGGTCGAGTAGCGGTTTTATACCACAAATTATCGTGGAGAAGGTCTTGCCAAAAGCGTTATTGTTCCACGTGTGCGGTGGTGTGGCGGGGGTAAGCGAAAATTGCGTGAGGCTTTGGGAAAATCCTGAGCTCTTCTCCTTTACCGGAACGCCAGGCACCTGACCTCTCGTTCAGCCAACGAGGGAGCACCTGTTTTGCATACAAACGTTTTCGCTCCTTACGATTATGTTTTGGTTTTCTCGTTTTGGGAATCTCGCTCCGCATGGCTGGTTACACAACAGGCTAATTGAACGTTTGTCAAAGAAAAGGTGAATAAAATACGAGTGAATAAAATTGGCGCGAACGTTATTGGAGTGAGATCGGTATATGTGTACGTGGGCGTCCACATGTACCGGAGTTCATTTGCGTGTCTACTGTTTGCAGCGTTCTGAGAACAGTAGATGACATTTTATCACCCTCAATCCTCAACAGTGAATCATTCTACGGTAACTCCCATCAGGTGACTTGACCTAACTGTGATCTCCAAACGTCGTACTCGTACGGATTGACTTAATTCTTTTAAGCACTTTTGTGATGGAAATTTAGCTAACGACTCGTCGACTCTTTAAAAGTAAACGAACGCGCGCCAGTACGGTGACTCTTGGCATCTACTTTTAGGAGCGTGTCACCCCGGTGTGATAATAAAAATACAATTTACCTTAGGAAAAAAAAAAAAAAAAAGAACCCAGCTGGTAAATAGTTTAAATAAAATGCGTTTGTACGCATTCCATCTTCTTTTTTTTTCTTTTTTTTAATTGCGCTGTTGGTTGTTTGTTTTTCACGGCCTCCGCGGAGAAAATTGCGTGGTGTGTCATTTGGGGTGACGTTGATTTGATCCGGCGCGCTAAGTCGTCCTCGTCGCGAAGAAAATAAAAAAAAAGAATCCTCCCCTCGGTGTCAAGGCCTCTCTGCTCTCTATGCATCGACACGGGCCCAAATGTCGGAAGCTCTCGCCGTGGCAGTCGGGTGACGCGCTCTTCCGGCCTAGAAAAAACTATGCAACGCGCATAACAAAAAAAAAAAAAAGAAGAAAAAATATATATATAAAATTGCTTTACCGGTTTTGCTAAGGGGTGGGGATGCATAGCTTCGGAGATAATTGGGTGTTTAATTAATCAAACCGTCAATCATCCAGAAATAATTAGCCACTTAATTATCTCGAGCGATATGGACGCCTCGCTTGGCGATGTTTCACGGCGTTTCGTGAAACCGCCTTATATTGGTCTCGCTATATTTAATAATATTGTTAGTAGTATTACGTTAATATTGGTTTGTATTACAAGTAACTTACGCTAATAATCTTTTTTTTTTTTTTAAGTGCACCCAAAGCAATTACTATTGTCTTTGGGTTGGTGCACCTCTGGAAGAAGACTACAAGTAAGAAACAAAGATATACCAGATCACACTTAAGACATACTGACATAAAAATGATACAAAACACAAAAATAAAATTACCGAGTAAAAAGCGAATTACTCAACAGGCGGCAGAACACAGAGGCCGATACATGGATGTCGAGATACGAAGTGGCGATCCCTAAAAGCACACCATCTGTTATATATATATATATATATATATATATGATGAGTGAAGATTGACAAGTGCAGCCGTAGTATAATTGTGAACGAAGAGGGGAGAATGTATTTATTGCATTAAAGTTAGGGAAGGGGAAAGAGAGCTGGCGAAAAATTGGGCCAGAAGCGCGGATTGCATTTGAACTTTAATGTAATAAATCCAATAATCACCTTCTCCCCTCTTCGTTGACAATAAAGCTACGTAGAAAGTTATTCTTAAAACTGTGGATAAACTATATTTGTCCGGAGATGCTTTCATAGCTGCAAAAGTTTCCTTACCTACCATTCTTTCCAAACACTGCGAGAAGAACGAAATGAGTACTGACGTAGGCGGCTTTTGCGCTGTTTTAATTAAAAAAGTGATTAACATGCCCTTCATTTGGTTTTAAAGTTTTGTCTCTGTCCGACCGAGTGATTTTGCACACCACTGAGCTTCACTCCTTGCCTCTGTCATGCATAAAAAAAGGAAACAAAAACAGAGTAGCACGTTACTAGCAGCACCTTTTTTCTTCTCTCGAATTTTCGAATTTTTTTGAACAAGGAAGTCGACTGTACACTACGCTGTCCCCTGCTTGTTTTGCGTTGTGTCGTGTGGGTGTATGTGTTAGACAGCGGAAAGTTTCTTAACCTCAGTAGGCGTCTGGCGTCTCGGCTGACGATGAGCAATTTAGCGTGTGCAGCAGTATCACCACTAGCCCGGGATCTTTAACACCACGCAGTAGTGATACACGACCGCACGCCGCGGAACGACGATCTTCCAGATCGAAACGTGCAGGGGTGGGGATCGAACCTGCAGGATCCCTCGCCTGCGGATAAAGAAGACTGTGACCGAAGCGATCCATTCGCTCATGACAGGGGTCGTTGGTGCACGACACTGGATCCCCCCCCATGCATACGAATCCGATTCCTCTCCTATTCCGAGGTTCACGATTCGGCCTGTCAACTCGTGGCGTCCAGGTTCAAACTTTGGCGGCCGCCATTTTAGGAAGGCTTCTGACCAAAACTGTGAACAAAAGGGGAATATATATATATATATATTGCGCCAACGGGGAACGTTTGTTGGCTAATGGCTCCCCATTCAATCCCCACCCCTGCGGCCCGCTTCGATTTGGATGGGCATCGTACCGGCGTGCGGTCGTGTATCACTGCTGCATGACTGCGGTAAGTGCGCTATTGGCTTCGTCAGTGATCGAAAATGCACGAAGGCGATGAGAGCCGTGACGGTGCACTTTTTTTGACGCTGCTGACTGCCTCCGTCTAATGCCCCTCTACCTCCGTCGGGTCGTATCCCGTCGGCCTTCGCTGGGCCTGAAAGTGAAACATAGTTGCAGTCGTACTGTACTGGCTACATTTCTCGTCTACGGGGGAGAGACCCGCGGATGGCCATTGGGGCTGACTATCCACCCCGCTGTCTAAATTAACGCACCACGACGCAATTGTTAGTCTACTGGCTGCGCAATTTAATGGTGGTAGCAACGAGAGGGACGATAACTTAGTTTGAGGGGGGACTCTTGAAACATAAGCACCTGCGTTTGGACGTATGCCCTCATAACTGCCCTTCGCTTTCTGCTTTTTTTTTTTTCTTTCTTTCTTTTTGTCTTTATGCTTGGTTGTTTTACCTTGTCCTCATGGCCACAAGTGATGTAATTGCCTTTCTATGGGCACCATTAACGGTGTTGTCACAGACGTCTGTGTGGTCGTTGCCGCCACTGTGAACGTTGGGCGGCGGAGAAAAGCTCACCGGAGAAAAGCTCACCGGAGAAAAGCTCACCGGAGATAAGCTCACCGGAGAAAAGCTCACCGCGAAACCGGCAGATGCGGAGAAAAGCTCACCGATTTTATTATTTTTTTTTTTAACTTAGCGGATTCTGCGTCAAACGTGGCAATTTAAAATAATTCGCATTCGCCACTTAATTAAAAAAAAAAACAAAAAAAAAAACTGTCCTCTTTCTCGTAATATTCTTGAAGGTCATTGGGCATATTTACTAATTCCTCAGATATTAGTAATCACCCATTCTGCATATTAATGAAACCGCAAAAATGATATCAGGACATCGTACACCGCGGTAAAAAAGACAACAATTTATTCACAACTGAGGGTGCGCCGTCGGTAGCTCTGTCAAATAAAGAGGTTTGTTCTTTGTGAGCTAATATGAATAGCGGTGTGTGAACCATTTCAGCTCCAAATATTCTGTAGTGCCTAATAGTTAAGTAAGTATTTGTTGATGCAATAAGTGTCGGCTACGCTGTTTACTTTCTGTTAATTTCACTAAGAAAACTTTAATTGCGAGAATAGCTTCCTCCTGTCGTGTTTGTTGTCTTCACTCCATCGTCGTCGTTTGAGCGGTTTTCATAATGCATAACGTTTACAAACTCAAACTCACCCTATTCGCTACTTTACAGAAGACTAGTTCTCATATAGATCACGAGTAACAACGGCGCCAGTGTGCAGCTCTAAAAGTCATGAGTGACTCACCTTAGAAGGGCACTATCACACGATGGCAACCTGCGGAAACACCAGCACGAACGGCTAGAAAACGTGCATGTCCGTGGAAGAAAGAAGCCTCGGTATCCTACTGACTGTTTTATCCTGTTTTCAAAGGTTAATACAAGCTTCAAAGAGAATTTCAGGCACCGCGTTGTTGCGCATGCACTTTAGGATTTTCGGTGTTTACAGTTTTGATTTTTAGGTTTTAGGGAGACATAAGTTTTCGAACTTATTCAAGTTCATAAAATTTTCTGTTAAGCTTTAGTTGCCTCGAGAGTAAGCCGCAGAAAACACTCGCCCGCCATTATTAATTTGGGAGCAATATACTTAATAAGCTTGGCAAATAATACAAAAAATGACATTTTCTTTTTGACAAAGGTGACGAACTTTAATGATAATAAATTGATACATGTTACGCATGATCCAACAGCTTCCATATAAAAAAAAAAAGAAAAAGAAAAAAAACGGTGAGCTTTTCTCCGCATCCGCCGGTTTTGCGGTGAGCTTTTCTCCGGTGAGCTTATCTCCGGTGAGCTTTTCTCCGGTGAGCTTTTCTCCGGTGAGCTTTTCTCCGGGATTCGTGAACGTTACCACGTGTTTACGAGACGCTCGAAAACCACCTGTAATATACTACTCTAATTTGAAGAGCACCAAAAGACGAAGGCACAAAACTACCCCCCGAATTTCGAGCTACCCGAGCCGAGGGTGCGTTCTAAAAGCTGGCGGTTTCCTGATTCTAGGATGCTGTTCACTTTTTCTTAACGCCTTAACCAATTAGGCCATTCCGGCCACTGGTTGCGGCGGTCTCAATTTTTGACCAGCTCTGTGTGTACTGTTAGTTTCTAAGTTTCGAATTCTCTTAACTGGGTAGGCGACAGCCGTTGCTGATTTAAAGCCCATGCTAGCTCCGAATTCCGGAAGCGACGTGGCACGTCATCTCAACTTGCAAATGTCGGGAAGGGCCCGTCTTCCAAGGTATCTAGGGAACCAGTCCTCCCCATAGGGACAGGCTGCACCTTATATATCATGATGTAGAAAACCCGAGACTGTGGTAAAAGCCGGGAAACTTGGTTGAAGAGGAAGGACATGAGGACTGTATATATATATATATATATATATAGTGGTAACGAAGGATAGTAATAAAGGTAAGAAGGACCGTATATATAGTGGTAATGAGTGAAGATTGGCATGTGCAGCCGTAGTAATATTGTAAACGGAGAGGGCGGTTATTGAATTTATTGCATTAAAGTCGGGGAAAGAGAAAGAGCTGGCGAAAAATTGGGCCATGAGCGGGGATCGAACCCGCAACCTCCGCCTATCCGGGGGCAGCGCCTTAACCGATTAGACCAGGGGTCTCAAACACGCGGCCCGCGACTCGCTGAGATGCGGCCTGCAGGCAACCGGCTACGGGTCCCGGTTCCCATGTCTCGACTCTCGAGCGCTAGAAATGGCATGCGTCATCGTGATTTCATCTTGCCGATTCATTTTCGCTCGAAACGTCCCTCAGCACTTTTAACGTATTCACATAGTTTTTACTGATCTGTGTTCCTTTGCCCTTTGTTGCGCTTTATGTTTATCTTTCCAGCTTTTTGTAATGTACGACAATTCCGCTACTAGGCTGCAAGCGCGAGCTCTTTTTTGAAGGATGCATCTCGACTGCGTGAACTCTCTATCACCAGGAGCACCTGCCGAAGATAAAGCTACCAACTCAAAAAGACAAGTATGGGGGTCGTAAAGAAATGGTCAGGAAATCTAGAACTGTCAAATTGACTGATTGTTCTTTAGAGACATGTTGAGCTCGGTTAATACCTGAGTGAACTGAGCAACGGGAACGGCAGTGTACTTGCTCTCTTGTTCTATTAAAAATTCGAGCACGTTGGCGGGGCGGTGTCATTTTAATTAATGTTATCACATCAGGTCAGGGCCCAAAGTAGTCATATAAACAAATCAAATCTAAAAATGCTACTGGCAACACTGAGTTTACAAAAAGCATAGAGCACGAGGTCTCTTCTCGTTCAAATCGCGCGACATTTATTTCACCAGACTGCGGCTGTGCGCTCCTCGAATGTCCGCCGAGCCCAAGAAGCAAATAGCGAAGACGGTATTCACGTTGCAGTAAAGGCGCCTTTAAAAAGTTTCGAATAAAAAACAACAACCTGTTAGGAGCCATCAGGCAAGTAATACAAAACGAGATTATGGCAAATCACTAAATTAGCAGAGCCAACATGATTTTAGAGATCGACGCTACCTCATCTCAGCTGAGTAGACGATAGCTGCTGCGAGGAAGCGATTCCAGTCCAGAAATGTTCCGTGTGAAATACGAAAATCTCTTGCATTTCTGTAGTTTCTGTCGGTTAAACAATGACTTCAGTCAAAGTTCTGCTAACCTTCTTTTTTTTTTAATATAGTTTGAAAACAAGATCTTTTTTATTTTACCGATTTATAACATGTGTGGGTAAGTTTCAGCTTCAGGAACAGTGGTGGTAGGGAAGTCAAAGCTTGTGGTGTTATATCTGTTTTATTATTATTATTTTTTTTTTTGGGGGGGGGGGGGGGGGGGGGGAGATGAGGAAACATCAAGAGGCGAAGCTACAAACAGGTGCACACAATGTGCCGCACTGAGAACCTGAATAACACTCTCATGTAATGTTATCTGAGAACAAATTATGCAATTGAGTTATATTTCACGTTCTTTGGCTTCGCGTTGTGTAGGTTGTGTCTGTCCGCGTTCGTAACCTCCAGGAGTGCCAGACCAACACGCTGCCCTGCTTCTACTTGAACCCTGACGCCGCGCGCGTGACTCTACTTGATCGAACGGCGGCTTTGCAGAAGACACTCGCAGTGCGGGATCCTCCATTTGTTCGTGCCGCGCTGCCTTTTCTCCGAGACTTGCGCCACGAGCATTGATTTCTAAAGCTCTTCTCCTTCCTATATTTTTACCTATATCCAAGTAAATTTTGTTAAAAAGAAAAGAAAAAAAAAAAAAACGCCCTTGTGCTAGATTTGCGTGGGTTTAGGTCGTGCTTTTCTTGGCGGTGCCTTACGGTCCCTCGGCACCGATGCCGAAATAAAGACCGCAATATCGCTGACCCCCCCCCCCCCCCCCCGCACACACACACACACACACACTTTTTTTTTTTTTTTTGCCACATTATTTTTATTTTATTAAAAAGAGATAAGGAAGCAACAGGTGGGGGGCCGCCAGGTTACCTCTTTCTCCTCCGCCAAAGGAAAAAAGAAAAAAAGAAAACGACCCACCGACCGAACGGTTGTCAAAGGCAGCGTTGGTCAAAGGGAGCCGCCATATCGCATATGCACGATAGGTGCGGAAGTTACGTCACTGCGCCTGCGCGGAGAGCGGACGATCGCGACCGGGCCATCCGAGCAACGGCCCGGCGGAGGGAGAGTCGACGAGAGCAGACGACGCCGGCGTCGCGCACTGGTGTCTGCTACGCTTTGTGGGTTTGCTGTTCGCCTCGGCGTTACTGGCGGTACTTGGAGGTCTTTGCCATTCCGAGTCGTTGCGTCGACGTGCTGTCTTTTCTTTTTCGTTTTTGCGTAATTGTCTTTTGGAGAAATCGGATCAGCGATGCTACTTGGGTGTCGCGTGTTGCCGGATAATCCTCGTGTTACCGACAGTTTGTGGAGGTCGTCGTGCGGCGTCTGTTTGTGAGCGACTGTTTTCTGCCAAAGAAAGGCCAGTAACCATGACCGCGGTCAGGTGTTGCGCGCTTCATTCCCCTGGGACGAGCGATGCGGCTACAGGGGTTCTTCGGAGGAGCTAACTGACTTTCGGTGAGTGCATGCACGCTCGCTGGAGCTTCTCTTGTGCCCATCGCTTCGAAGGAAGGCAAGCTGTTGGCACCGACGTGTTTCTCTTGCGCCCCTCGCTTCGACGTGTGCCGTGTGTCAACAGAGCCTGCCAGTCGCGGGTTATCGGTGCGGGCTTCTGTTGCGGACGAAAGGTGGGAAGGATGTCACTGGCTGATAGGAGCGCCCAATATTTGGTCTCACGTTCAGCGTCGCTAGCCACGGGGCCTCGACTCTCGAGGTGCCCGGTGCTTCGCCTCCTCGAAAGGAAGATAGATTGTGACTGCGCAAATTGTGGCGTGACTGCTCGCAGCAAGCAGTCACGTCACAAGGCGCATTCGGTATTCCTTATACAGGTAACGTTTCGTATAGGTCTTGAGGTGTTTCTGTACTGTGCTCTGAGAGGTGGGGATGATGTGGGAATGCTCGTTCAGCATGCATGGTAAATGTTGCGCTTTTCGGCGCTTATTCGTGGCAAGTTGCGGCGCTATAAATCGGAGTTTATTTATTAAAAAAAAAGAAACGACGTTTAGTTTATTCTTTGTGGTTGTGGCTTCAACCCAGTTACTCGTAAACAAAAAAATCGCAAGTAAACGAGCATCTGTGTACGATGCACAAACGCGAGCGGAAGTGCGGTAGTATGAAACATTGGCAGCAACCTTTATTTCCGAAGTCCCTATAGTGGCGTGGAGTTGTAGCTTTTCTACCGACTGTGTTCGGTTATGGTTTGCTTTTGTTTTCAGTAAGTCCTCAAACTTTGAAACTCCGAACAATAAATACATCACCTTAGAAAGTTTCGTGCAACGTTGATGGAACTTTTTGTGCGAGCAAATGCCCATTGCACCTTTCCAGACCTTTGGATTCAAACTCCGAACCTCTGGGTGGTATTTGTTGACTCAAAAACTTGGAGGGCGCTTAAGCTTCGCCTTTAAGGGTGAAACGCGATAGCGTTATCGGGTCCCGTTCGCATCGCCTTCTCATTCACTTCTCATGCTTTTCCTGCCAGTGAGCAGGATGTGCGGCGGACCTAGTCAATAGCAGTGTTGCGGAATGGGCACCCCCATTCCATTCCCATTCCATTCCGGGGAATTAGAATTTGCTATAATTCCATTCCTTTCAACTCCTAGGAATGGGAATGGCCCATTCCCACTCCTGGAATGGCTGAATCGTTCCATTCCATTCCTCTAATTCCTAAACGTAAAAGTTGGCACCTGACAGCTACATTGTGTTGCCGGCATAAGCACCGTAAAGCTGACATTATCAAACGCAGACAATTGCAATAAAATGCAAAATGCCTCAAAAAAGCACTGATTTTACAAAGCGGAGCGCTGGTGGCACAAACTGTTTGTTTACATTCTATACAAACATCGAGGAAGCCCCTTGATATGTCGATGCTTGTTTAAAACGTCGGTCTTTCGACCATGTGGCTCGCAACAAACAGCAAAACTTAAATCCACAAATATTTTTGGCAAAATTTTTTGCATTTGTCTTTTGGACATACCCCAGGCAGCACAGAACGTCGTGGAAACGTCGAGAAAAAGTCCCGGACGTCCGTGACGTCCCGCATGACTTCGATCACGTTTTTTCTATGTTGAGGTGACGTCCTTATATAACGTTCCATTAGAGTCCAATCAGTGACGTTGTGACGACGTTGTATTTCAACTCAAACGTCGTCAACGTTCCCACGACGTCGATGCACGACGTTCACACAACGTCCAACGCTCACGTTTCTTTGACGTTGAACTGAAGTTCATAAATGACGTCCCATTATCGTCCAGTCAGTGACGTGCTGGCGACGTCATGTTTCAACTTTAACGTCGTCATCGTCGCCACGACGTCAAGACAAGATGTTTTAGCAACGTCGAACACTCACGTGTCTTCAAAGTTAAAATGAAGTCCAGCGTGACGTTACATTATTGCCCGTCAATGACGTTTCAGCGACGTCGCGTTCACACCTAAATGTCGTAAACGTTATACAAGACATGCTGGCAACGTCGACCACTCTCGTTTTGCTCGACGTTTTTAGATTTTCCAGGTCAATCTCCAGCCGCAGAATCACTGTGGTCAAGCTGATAGTGCTCAAGAGCCGCAAACAAAACTGAATTTTTGAGAGGTTGAGAAGTTTAATTATTGATACATTAATTTGCGTATTTTAAAATGCTATTAATTGCACATCGATGACGCTAAAGAGGGCACTTACAACACTCAATGTACACGGAAGAAAAAAATAATATGAAAGCATGTTGGGAATATCATTCCTTTTAGATGTGCTTGTTATAATTTTGGTTTGTTTAAAGGAGCTGTGCAACGATATTCAATTGGAATGTTTTTCTCTCTACACGAGCTTACTGGCACACCTGGGACTCAAGGATACTCACACGCAACGCCATTGGCCAAGAAACTCCTTTGTTGCGGTGTAATTTCAAGGACAAAAGCGATCATTTTCATTCAATCTCTCCTTTGCAAAATTTGATGACGTAACTCGGGGATCGCAGTACACCCAAGTGACGATATTTGAATGCGGTTCATAGATTGGACCCGAGCATTGCGTGGGCACTCGACTTGGGCTCGTGACAATTGCTAGCTCGAGAAGCATTCGGGTTGTGACCCGTGTCCAATCGCTGCAACGACGACAACAGCCGAGCCATAACAATGTCTGGAACTCAGCGCGTGTCCTGCGCTTTGCCAACCCCAGCGCGTGGCTATGATCAACACTGGCGGCATATAATCGGCTCCAGATCACGTGGCCGCTTGTTCTGGCTGCGAGTTGAGGGGGTGAACGCTGCTCGTTTTTCTTTAATTTTTTTCTGGGACTTCTATTGCGTGGGGTGAAAAACGAACGCGTGTTTCATAGGTCATTAACGTTAGGGATACGTTTTAAGCGGTATTTGCGCAGAGTACAAAAATTGTTGCGTAGCTCCTTTAAAAGATTGTTACGGTTTTAATTTGCGAAGCCCATGGCGTCTAGAACGGATCGAATTGTGCTATTCTTGAATTTTGCACGCGCGTTGTCGTCTTCCATGGGTCCTGGGCCCTGGCACGCGCCTCAGGGGCGCCGCTACACTATCCCCTCTCCAGGTGATTTCAGGCCTGCATCCTTTTCTAGGAGCATCCATACTGCTCCGCGACCACACGAGATTGTTTTAAGGTTCGTCAATTTCTCTTCGTATTGTGTAACCCATGCTCACCTGCGCACAACCAAAAAATTCGCATCAACATCACAGTTCATCGATAACACCAACTTCCAGCGCCTTAGCGCCTTCGGTAGATCGGGACGCAAAGTCTTGTCACGTGACAGTCAGTACAGATCTGGCTTTCGTTGCCACTGGTGACGTATACCAAACGAAAATCGCATGCGAGCACACACTATATCAGAGCAGAACTTCACCGCACACTTGCGCATTTTTGGAGTTGACTCAAAAAAATGCCCGGCAATGACGAAATCCGGTAGATACTGTCAACGGTTTGTGGAAATTGACATTCATGATGCCAACCACTGAATGGCCCAGATGACGGTCCAAAAAGCGTTCAAGCCCAGTCCGCACTTACGTGCCGAAAAAAAAAACACAAAAAAAGAAAAAAAAACAAAAAAAGAAAACAGCCGGCACGGCGCGAGAGAGAGGGGGAAAGGCAGGCAGAGGAGATGCCAGTGGCAACTCCATAGAGCCTCATGCGATGCGTCGGGAAACTCGGCAAGAAGAGGGCGAGAGAGAAAAATGGGGGAAGATAGCGACGACGAACAATTGACAAGCCTAAGTTCCGGGTGCACGTATTTTCTCAGTCGTTCCCAAAATATTTCACTGAATGTTCTGTTCTTCGAATCGGCCCAGAGAGAACAGCTCTGGGACCCGGTCCAGCTTTTTCCAAAAGCCAGTCACTAGCACCGGCCGTCACGTCTACGGGTCTCTGAGGCAGGCTGCTATGTCGCCGTGATTTTTTTTTTTTTTCGAGTCTGCATACAGTATAAGTGCTGCGGTTGGATGAGTCGTTCAAGACGCCCCCATGAAGAAGTCGGTGATCGCCATAAACGCCGTCGTATTCAGTCACGGCTCGAGGATCTTTTTCAAGGCCATAACGCTACACACGTTGAATCGTACTACTGCTCGGATCAAGGTGCCTGTGAGGATATGAATGACGCCCCCCAGAAAAAAAGTGGCAGTGCACATAACGGCGCGTCAAGTCCAGTCTCCGATCAAGACCCTTCAGACGCCGCCGACGATCCCAATCAAGAAGGCCCAGCGGACGGGATCCCCCTTCTGAAACCGTTCCAGTGCACGCAGCGAGAGTACCAACTACGCGCAATGGGACGGCTAAAGCACGCGTATCAGAGCATCAATCAGAAGCAGAACGAGGTAAGAGGTGGAACATTCCGCGCCGCGTGACATCGTCTCCTGCTCATTTATTTACGTGAATTTTTTTTTTTTTATACCTTTGAGGCTGGCACATCCAGGTACGTCTTTTGGAGGCGCTCCGTATTGCATCTCGTGTCTGAACATGCTCAAATAAACAGTTCGTACCAAACCTGTGTTTTAGTTACTTCCTTCGTACTTGCATGATAGCAGCTTGCCTTCGCAATAATACTAAAAAAAATACTTTTTTTTTTGGGGGGGGGGGACACAACGTTTTCCCACGACGGCTAGGGAACGTAATTTGGAAAGGTTTCTCGACGTTCTGTGAACGTCGTTGGTAGTCCAGATGTCGTAAACACACGTATCATAAACGTCGAGGGAGGACGCAACGGCCCACTGAGACGTGCATGTGACGTGCAACAAACGTCATTTGGAACGTCCCCTCGACCTCCTGTGCACCTTTTCTCGCGGACATTTAAAGGTTTCATCGACGTCGAAGGAAGGTAACGTCCGGACCTTCGACGTTTTACGACGTCACGTTACAGACGTCTTCGACGTTCTTTCGACGTTTTCTTCACGTTTATGTGCTGCTTGGGACGCGGCGAGCGTGTTTGTTTGATAAGACCATAAAAATGT